TTATATGAGATTAAATTTGAAATTCCTGTTGGTTTCTCACTCCTGTTCGGTGAGTTCTCTTGCTATATGAAATCCTATCATATATATATGCTTCAAAAACAAGCTGCCCTGGTGAAGTATCAGCAGTTTGAAATGTTGTGATGATTGGTGATGTTAATTATCAATCCAAGATTTCTCACTCAATACCCATGCAAATTAGACATTCCAAAACACAAATCAGTGACAATATGTTTATGATGAAAATAAAATGCACTTAAACTTTACTTTATCAAAACAGTAAGGTAGTTATAATCTTATTTAACAACCGAGTTCTTAGTCACATTCACTTTCTTCCACATTAAACTGTTATTCTTTTCATTGATAGCACATTACGTTTAGTTTATGCAAGTTGAAAACATTATCACCTTAACAGAAGTTAAATCTAAATGATCAATGATTTGATGTTTTATAATGGTACAGCCATGCCCATTAGAAGCAACTCAACACACCTCTACTTACTACTGTACTCCAGTAAGGAAGATTTATTTGAACATAGTATTTACTGGTCTATGTAACATATCCCTTAAGGATTAAAACAATAATCTTAATAGTTTCAATCTTGCATACTAAAAAGATAGTGGATCATGTCCCAATTGGCACTTTGTACAACAAGAAACTTTCAGCAATTTCATAAGAAATAAAATTGCTAGAAAACAAAAGGAGCTACAACATTTACATTGTGGAAGGTCACAGGAGTCAATTCGTTTTTGAATACATGTATAGACATTGTCAGAAAGTGCAAAAGTTTTTTAATTTTTTTACCATACCTAATCTGTTAAAACTGAAGATTCTTGAGTGTTGAAAAAAGTCTGAGAGGACCGACACACAAGTTATCATAATATACCTTCAAGAGGGTTATTGAAAAAAATTACAAAATAACGAATGTACATCATTTTTAAAATAAAAACATAGATTAAGGAAAACAATTGTTTTGAACTAAATAATCAGTAGTCAACAGTGTTGGATATCAAATACCTACCAGCTTTTAGTTTTGGGTTTGATCTCATCAATAACAGCTTGTACGACTTCTACTGTTGTTGCTTGACCACCAATATCAGGTGTCTGTACCTAATTAGAATAGAAAAAACAAAACTTGTCATTTTTAGTATTAACCACATAGTATCTTCACTGTGGTATTTGTAACTGTGTTCTTGACAACTTGTGACTGCTAAAAACTGATACAATAAGATCAATCTAGTCACTCCCATGACCATCATACATTTGAACTTAATAGATAAGTTGCTCTAAGTAAAATTTTTTTCACAAAAGTATCAAGGAATGCTGTTCTTATCTTAATTTAGACTAAAATTGAATGCCATATCTCCTTATAATAATAAACAGCAACAAATTTAGAGTAACTTACCCCTTTATCACTAAGAACATTCTGAACTGATTCACGAATCAATGTGGCATGACGATGATGACTACAACAGAAATAATCAATTAGAACACAACTGTTAGCTCTTGTCTTGCCAGTTTACATGCATAGCCAAGTTACAAAGTGTTATCTTCAATTTAGTCTAGATATTGTAGGTTTTAACTAATGCCATAACTGTGAGTCTGTTTGGTACATTTTTGTTTGTTTTTTCATTGGGGACAGGGTCGCGTTGTGACTCGATCATATTTGACAATTTACCTTAAATAATCTAACATATCACAGCCAGCTAGTAACATTCCTACAGGATTAGCTATATTCTTGCCAGTAAGTGATCTTCCTGAGTTTCTAGTTCCCTGAAAATAAATTGTACACACGTCATTAGTATATAACATTGAACTGACAGTGCTCTGAAAACTTGGCATATAATGAAAAGAAAATCTGTAGTAAATCTCAGAATTGTGTGACCAAGGGTTTCCAAAATATTTCATGAAAACAGAACTATTAATTTAAGCTGTTGTAACCTTTATAAGCTAACTGTTTTCAAAAGTCTCTTCAGGCCATTTGTCAACTTTAGCAAACTTACAATACATTTGAAAAACAAATTAAAAACTTACAGTTTCAAAAACAGCATAACCAGATCCAATGTTCATACCAGGTACTAGACCTGCTCCACCTACCAGTCCTACTGCTATATTACTTAATACATTACCATATAAATTGGGTGAGACTAACACATCAAATTGTTCTGGACGTGACACCATCTACAAAATGAAAGCAATAGTGCACAATCATTGCAAAAACTACACAGATTTTGTTGAAATGTTAAATTCATTAATATCACTCAGAAAATGTCCACTCAAAGAAAATTTAAGATCAAATCATTATTTGGTCATTTCAAACCAGTGACAATGGAATAGCTCAGTTGGTATCCAGTTGGGTTGCCGTCTGCTAGACAATAAGGTGCTGTGAGTTCAAATTCTCCTCATGTAGAAGCCAGAGAGCTTGGTGTCAGTTTTCAACCCCTGTCACCAAATTAAGTTCAATATAGGTTTTTCAGCATTTAGCAAGATAATAATATACCTGCATACTAGCATTATCAATAATGAGATCATTAAATTCAATATCAGGATATTTCTTAGATACACTTCTACAACATTCTAAAAATAACCCATCTCCCAACTTCCTGTAACAAATAATAAAACAGTGGGATAAAAAACTCAATTGGGACATAAAAGGTAGTATTGTTGTTCACTACATTAGTACCACTTATACTCTAATTAAGATTAGACCAAACTTTCATTCTGTTTTTTTTATAAACTTTCATTTTTAATAAAGCCACTTCAGTTAGTCTCTTACGACAGCTCTCTTGATGTTCGTCAAATTAGCCTTTTTACCGTTGACGTCTGCTTTAACCAATCAAATTTCTACCTTTTCCAGCACTGGCATTTTGTGACAGTATATCAGGTTAGGTCTTAAGGTTTAATTGAACGAACCTTCAAGAGGGCTGTCGTTAGACCCTAACTTAAGTGGCTATATTAAAAATAAAAGCTAATAAAACATGGAACGAAAGTTTGGTCTAATTTCAATTTGACTGGTACCACCCAATGACAAAAACCTAACAAAAAAATCAGTTTGGTATGTTTTTATCCAGAAAGCATCAATCTAATAACTCTTTACTTTGTGACCTAGGCCAGTGTTTTTATGAGACTATTTTCTAATCACCATCTAGAAATCAAACTAAAGGGATTCCCATAATCCTTAGTTTTATCTACGACTGATTTCTGAAAGTATAATTGCTAATCTTACATGATATTAGCTTTATGGATAGCAGTGACTTTCTTTCGACCATGATGTACAGCATAATCAAAAGCAAATTCAGCAATTCTAGTTGATCTTTCTCTGGTAATAATCTTTAAACTTTCTACAACCCCTTTCACATTCTATAAATTAAATAACAAAACCATTTTAATACTTTTCATAAAACAAATATTTATTTCTCAAATTGTCTAGCAAAGATATCTTTGCACATCCAGGTTGATTCAAAATTTTTGGTCAAATGAGTAAAAATTCACATTTAAGCAAGCTAGAATTATTCTGCCTATTTCTACTATTACCCTACCTAAAAACAAAATATAGGCTACTGCAAGAAGTGCAAAAATATCTTTGCTTTAATCTCTATCCTTTGCTTTGATAGCAGGTTAATAATTTTTTTGTCAGTACATTAGATATAGATTCATATAAATTTAAAAAATATGAAGTTAACAAAAATGTAATTCCGCTGAATGACCACTATATAATCTATGATATTACCTCATGTTCTAATTGTCTATATTCACCCTCTGTATTTTCTCTTATTAATATCATATCTATTTTATTCTGTCTAGATGATACATTAGGTATAGATTTACAACATACTATACTGGCATATAGGTTCAATCCAGTTCTGTAACAAAATTTGAAGTTAGCGTTAGTGAAGATTGGGATCATTAATGCCCCTAAAAGCACATATCATAAAAAAACATTCCAAACTTGTCTCAAAATGTGAACATGAGAATAAATTCTATTTGTCCAAGTTAGTAGGCTGAAATGGGTCAGTTATCTGAAGATCGCATAGCGTGAAACTCTGAGGAACAGTATGATTCAAGTTCTGTTTTAATATTTCTTTATCTCTCTAAAATTGTTGCATGATTCTATATTTGTATATTTTTAAGTATATTGATGTTTTACTCATTCACATCTCATCTCAATCTTGTTGAAGGTTGAATGGATAGAAATGTACTGAATATATACCTATCCTAAATGATCACATAATATTCTAATTCTAAAGCCCTGATATGGCCCCCTGTTTTGATATGAAAAACTAACATGAAAACTAACCTGAGAGCAACATTCATGGACTTAAAAGTTGGATCATCAAACTTTGTTTCAATGTTACCTAGAAAATATAAAATAAATTTGCTTAAGCCGAGTTTCATATTTCTGATAAAATAGTAACCACAATTAGATTTCAACTTGAACTTCACTGCATAAAACGTCAAAAATAATTGATGCCACGTTATTTTAGTTTTCTATATGGAATCGCTAATTGCTCTTCTTAATGAAGAATAGCAAATTTAACCAAATACGTAGTAAGTGCTTGTTTTCAATATGCGCACAATAAACTTCTTCCAATGTAACATCAACACACCTTTTATTGCTACTCCATTTCTTCTCACAGATAACATAGCATTGTGCATCACTTCTGGACTATTAGTTGACGAATTAATCTCAATCTTCTCAAAATCTATTGGAGCACCAGCATACCTAATAATAATATTTAAAATACAAATAAATGGCAACTAGATGTCCAAAAAACAGTTGCCAATTGAATTCTGAACTTTACTGTTAAGAATATTTCAATCAATCTAATGCTCTTTTCAAAATAAACTTTGACTACTACAAGAGGAATTCTGGGATTAAATTGTACTCTTTGATGCTTGGGAAAGGTCTTAGCCAGTACTGGAAATTTACTGAATTCATTATTTATTACTGAATAGTATAGTTCACATTGTGAATGAGTCAAGAAAACAGCAACAAAAACTGAAAGTGAAATATCTAGATGAGAAATATTTAAGTATGAAATGGATCTACCTGAAGACTTCTTGTACATGACCAAGTAATTCTGGCCCAACACCATCTCCTGTCATTAAAGTTACTGTATGTCGTCCTCCATATTGTGCTTGCTTGAATAGATAAGAAATTGAAACTAGCATTGTCTACCAAGACTTGAAAGACAAAAGTTAAGAATGCAAACACCGACTTGACAAAAAAAACCCACCTAGCTGCAGGCATGTTTTTTCCAAAGAATCACCTTGAATCTATATTATCAAATTCAACATGTCACTAGGCAACTTCTACTACTACTACTTCAAATATTTTTAAAAGGATTATTTACCTGGTCACGAGTTGACAGATGGAAGTTTCGCTTTTGACAAATTGGAATAACATTCAAATGATGACTGGTAGCCTATAGATAGGAAATCAGAAAATTAGAACACTTTAATAATACGAGATCTAATCTAAAAACTTGTTGACCCACAAGGCAGCCGGTATTTTGACAGTTATGCCTATGGCCTGTGCGAAAGTCCTACACAGGATTTTTTTTACCTCTCTGATCAAATGCTGAATCTATCAGTCAATAACCATCAAAAATATCTATCCGAGACTAATCAGCAAAGTTCGGACTTTTCAGCACCCAAAAAGAACTTAAGAAGTTTCATCTTTCATTCAAAAATCAAGTGGGCTGTCAAAAGAAATTTTTAAAGAGTTGTAAACATAAACAGTTACTGAAGTTCAAGGAATCCAGATCTTATCATTATGCGTAATAAATGATCTCAAAATAACAACTATCAATTATTGCATTTGTGATAGTTTATACCTTAGAAATAGCTAGTTTCTTTGCAGAATTCAACAAACATCTTGCCGGAGTAGCCATACTGGTTGACCTTGAACTTGAGATATTTCGTTCCATAAATTGAGAAGTTTCGTAATTTGCTATTTTTTTGTCGTCTGTACAAATGCAATTAAATGTTGGTTTATTTCAATTGCTATTTAAACAAGGTGTTAAATTAGCCGATGAAGTAGAACCTTAAACTCCATTCATTCCTTTTCATTCATTTTCTAGTATGTGCGAAACGTCTCAAGCGTAAGTGGAAGTAGTGAATGTAGGTGGCGCTCTGGCAGTTAATGTCCTCTGAAACATGTCAGGAATATTGGTTCCAGCGAAAATTCTGCAGATTCTGCATATGATTTAAATATTTCGACTTTTTTCGACAACATACGGGTGCAAGAATAATTTGTTCTTCCATCTAGATAAGTATTCGCTTCACTCGATGTAAAGCTTTATAATAAATTCAAATTGGAACATTGCCATGATTGACACCAAAAATGGTATCGAGATTTGATGCATGACAGTTCCAGAGTGGTGCCAAATGGCCGATTAATTATACAATATTTTAAGCTTTTTATATGTGTAGATAATAAGTGAGAACTAAACAAGGCATAAAACAATGTTTAAAAAGAGTCATAGCCGATCATCTAGTACCAGCCGATCAGATCATTCTGAGAGTGCTGCAGGATATGACATTCCTATTGGAAAAATGAAGCCAGCACAACAAGCTCTGCAGTCTGGCCCTCAATCTCAACAATCAAGTAAATCATCAAGAAGTAGGACATCTTCAGAAGGTGGTTCATCTCATAATTCAAGTAGTTCTGGTAGCCATGGAAGTAATTATCGCTCGCCTTATCAATCAGCTAGTCTTTCAAGAACTGTTAATCCCATGAATTACCCGCTTGATAATTTAACTGCTTTAAGTATCGCCTTGAGTGGAAATTCACCTTATTCTGCTGAAAACATCACCCTGCCAACACGCCAAAATATTCACCATGCCAAATCCTCGTCCACAAACAGTTCACCATCAAACCATGGTGGACGTACTTCTAGTTTACAGAATGTCTCAGCACGTGAAAGATCATTGGAAAGATTGGAAAGGGAATATCTCATGATGGGGGAACGATCTCTTGACAGACATGCTTTAGAAAGAATGCAGATGATAGCTCGCGAAGGTAGTACTAGCAGTCTGATCGATACAAGAAGAGGTTACAATACAACTGGAGGTCATGGTCAAATGAGAGACAGATCTTTAGACAGAGAATATCCTCACATGGGAGCACGTTCATTAGAGAGAGATCACCATATTACTAGTCGTTCTCGATCATCAGATCGTGAATATGAACCGATGTCTACTTCGCTTATGGGAGGTAGCATGTCCCCACCTGAATATAGAAACTCTTTTATGTTTGATCTTCAAGTTCAAATTACTGAATTACATAAGGAATGTGCTAAACTTCAGAAAGAGTTGGATAATACGAATGCCAAACTATGTTCTAGTATGAATAGTATTAAAACATTTTGGAGTCCAGAATTAAAGAAAGAAAGAACTATCAGGAAAGATGAAACAGCCAGATATGTTTTATTAAATGAACAATATCGTGTTGCACAAGCTGAACTTCAGGTGGGTCATTTTATTATTTTTATCATGTAGATTTATCCACTAGTATATCATTATTTTTCAGACTTAAGGCTATAATGTAAAACTTTCTAAATTCTGTTTTCAGAAAAAAAGTGAACTACTTAAAAAAGTTGAGTCTAGTAAAAGTAACGATGTAGATGCGTTACCTGCTCTTCATATTTCTAGTCAGGATCTAGATACAATAGGTCAAGACAAATCTGATCAAGAATCAAAAGAAATTTTAATCCTTCGTAAGACTGTTGATGAAATGGAATTAAGGATAGAAACTCAGAAACAAACTTTAGCTGCTCGTGATGAGAGTATTAAGAAATTATTAGAAATGTTACAAAGTAAGGGATTGTCTGTGAAAAACTTTGATGAAGACAGACAAGAAGTGGAGAGTTTAAGATCCAAAATGGTGGAAGAAAGTTTACGGGTGAAACAACTTGAGAATTTATTACAAGAAAAAGATAAAGAAATCCTTAAATTAAAAGAGGTAAAGTAATTTAAGATGAATTTAAATTCTTTTTTAAGAATTGTTGCTTCAGAATTTCTTGTTTGATGTATATTTGTAATGTAGTGGTGTGTGTGTGTGTGTGTGAAAACATGGTAACAACCCACATTTTTTAACTCAAAAACTGATAGAATTGAGGTTTACTTTTGAAACACACTTCTTTCTGAGATATAATCGTAAATTATATGAATGCTTATTGATATTGCATTTCTATCAATTAATCAATCAACCAATTTTGATAATCCAGATAGGTCAGGTCTGCACAAATGTGATTTTTTTAAGCTAAGCTATTAATCAGTATCAGTGTTCACAGCTCACCATAAAAATTTGAGTCTTTATTCAGATTTACCGACAATACAGTTTACCGTATTTATACTAAATGATAATAATGTATGGAAAATAAAATTGTTTGGTTTTTTGATAATAATATATCTATATAAGCCCAATAAGGGAAAATCATTTTACATCGGGAGAGATCTCAGATACCAATACTAACAGGAAAACACAAATAATTAATACACAACATGAATACAAACAGTACAAGGAAAATATTATTCAATATAATATTCAATTCAGCTATAATTTTTGTATTTTTTAAGTTTTTTTTAATTATGTCCCACATATAAATAATGCCATTAAACAAACTGTCAAAAAAATTTGATGGAAAATAAATTAAAGCAAATGTTTTTCTTCAACATTTTAGAGAATACACTGTGCTATTTTAAGCTATTTTTAGTCAGTCAATTTCATTTGGAGTCTCATTTTATTAATAACATATGAAATCCATTGAATAAGCTTTGAAATGTCTGGTAATTTTTATGTCAAATCTGTTGGTAATTGAAAGAGGGTTAAAAGCTGTAGAGCAAGTCTCAATAATTTCAAAGTTCATTCCAGTAGTAATATAAAACTTCAAACAATTTACTTATTGATAAGAAATCCTGATTACATTAAGTTGGCTCTATGTCAGAGACAGTTCAGGTCAATCTCATTATTCTAGGTTTTTTTTTCTGGTTTTCCTTCACCAGCTTATTGAGTTTATCTCAACTTTCCATTGCAATTTTCAGATCCAGATGGGTTCCCTTATTTCCATTCATGAAAATGAAAATGCTAATACATATATGAATAGAAAGTAAAGGCATTCATGGACATTTATGATTGGTTAAAACTCTTATTGTACTGGTATGCAATAAGAACATAAAATGATATGATTAAGAATACATGATAATTCATTAGAAACACCAATGAATCAAATAGTTTGCATAATTTGACACTAAAAAAAGAAGGCATCAATATTAGCTGGAGAATTTCATTTATTAAAAACTTCAAAAAAAATGTCATTCCATCAAAAGGAAAAATTTAATTCAAAGTAAATATTACAGAAGAATTTTTTTTTTAGGTAAATAATAAGTCAAGTTTCGTGTATTTCATAAAAGAAGATTTGTTTTTCTGACCAGGGTATTTTATTACAATTTAATATTGTGCTGGTACATTTGATTTGATTGTAGACAAACCAAATGAAACTCTTTTTAAAATGAAAATCTCTTAAGACTGAAAAGAGATATTGATTGCTGTACGGTAACATCCTTCGAAACGTCTCTTTTTTCGAAAACCTAACTGAAATAATATTACCATTTTCCAGAACTGTTTTACCTAGCATCTTCAGTCAAGGCCTGATCGTAACAAAGTCAAATGAAGCAAGTTCACCCATAGCCAGACCTTGGATTGTGCTGTGGCAGGGGGTTAGATCAGGGGGTTTTGAACTTGATTGGAACAGATCTAATAATAAGCTTAAGTTCATACACCATACAAATTCTATATCAATTTAAATTAATTTGGTAATCACTAGATACGTTTCCCCAGCCACATACATATATCTATAGTTATAGACTTGTAAATTTGACATTATGACATTATAATTATGGTATTATTTTTATTTATTGTAGAGCCCTCAGAATGCCAGTGATAGTGGTGTCAGTCTAGCCTCTAATGATAATACTCATACTATGCAAGCTATTATAGAAGCTAAGGTAAAGAAGGAACTCTTTTAAATATTTAATATATTTTTCTCATAGATCTCTTGTTCCATACTCTCCCACCTAATACTATATGAGCATTTTGAAGCATTGCATATATCGCATTATTACAATCTACAGTGCTAGCCAAAGGTTTACAAGGCGAATGCTAAGTTAGTGACAAGAATGCAGTATTTGACTGTTATTGAATCCTTCATAGAATGTAGGCGAGTTGTAAAACAATGATAAGATTCAATGTAGTTCATCGCTGCTAAGGTAGTAATTCAACAGATGTTGCAGATAATCTAAGTGACAATCCTCGCTGGTTTTTTTTTTAAATTTTGCATAGCTTTACAGAGATAGTGTCAGAATGTGGACCAAAACAGCTAAAAAGCTCTTACTCAATGTCAATCTTTTTCATACAAAAATCTTTTAACTTCAAAATGAGGAAAATCTCTTGATCTTTTTGCAATAGATAGATTGTTCATTGGTTAGTCTGAAGGCAATTTAAAGTATGATTTTATGCTAATTTGTCCATTGATGATCTTTTAGGATTCTAGAATTGGTTCATTAGAAAATGAAGTACAAGCGTTAGAGGATAGATTATTAAAACAACAAGAAGAGAATTTTACTTTAGAAATTCGTGGAAGCAGTAGTAGGGAAGGAACTCTCACCAAAGATAACCAAAGTGCCAAAGAAAAAGATTTAAGAGCTGAGGTATGGAAATTTACTTTTTACATGAATTAATTTCATATTAATTCGTCATTTTTCAAAATACCGATCATGTGCTATAGCTATACATCCTGACATATTTATTATACAGAAAGATACTAAACTAGTATTATTGACTCTTCAGTATGTATTCCATGTTGACAAGCCTAGTAGCAGAGTGGCATCCTAGTGAAATTCTTGTGTTTTACTGTGGTAATGTTGCATATTGCATTGGGTGTTCCATTATAAGTTTGTTTTTTGGTCACTAGTAGGGCAACTGCTTTAAAGATATAGGTGACCTTAGATAATACAAGTTTGGGATATATTTTTACTAGCCCATTTGTTGTTGGATTACACTACTCATTAAGAATTTTTGTTTGTAATTTTAGCTAGAGAAGGTGAGGAATAAATTAAGTGTAAAAGAAACAGAGTTAGAAGGTTTAAGATTAAAAGTAGAGACCTCACAGAGACAACAAGCAGAGAAAGAACAATATGTCACTGTATTAAAAGAACAGATATCAGCTAAAGAACTCCATTCTTCCATGTTACAAGCTGATGTAAGATAATTTTTTGTAAACTTTAAAATTTCTGTCAAATCTATGGTGTATTTACCAGTGATGTCCTCTTAATGCTGTTATATCTGCCTGTGATATTTACACCGGGCAGAATTAAAAAGGACTTTGTAGCTTTTATATGTGTATAAAGGACACTTAAAGCTTCTATTTTCACCATTCCATAACTAGGGATAAGCAAACGCCAATATTAAATAATGTTAATAATGTTAACGGATATAAACATTCAAACTTTGGACTAGGACTAGGCAATATAACAGTATCATGATAAAAACTGATATAGGAATTTATTTCGTTAGTAATATTGCCTGATTTAAATATACTGAAATGTCGCCATATCATGATATATCGTAACTATTATGATATACCATCACGTTTTTGTCGAAATATAATCAACTAAACATATTGTGATAAAATAATGCTATCTAGATATTGATATATCCACTGGATAATGAAAAGTATTTGTGTTGTTTTATAAAGAATCTGGGTGATGTATATTATCTATATTGTTATATTTAGATTGAAGATTTAAAAGATAGAGTTAAAGATAAAGAAGGTACTATAGAGAGAAAGAGTAAACAATCTCAGTCTATTAATAAAGATAAGAGAAGAATGGAAACTGAAATGATGGAATTAAAAGATTTAATGGACGTTAAAGAAAGAAAAATTAATGTTTTACAACGAAAGGTAAGAATTGAACTGTTTTATGCATCAGTTGAATTTATAGGATTACAGTTGTGTAATTTTGAATTTAACATCCAATAGTTCTAAATAAATTTTGACTCTTTTAAATATAAAATAAATGAGTCTATGTTTGTCTTCATTTAAGAAAATTAAATTGGTATATTTCCGTTTAAAGTAACATGTGTCATTGAAAAGTAGAAACCTCGAAAATTTCATTCTAAATGCCATACATGTTTTTTTTTTTCATCTTTTCAAATCTTAAGGAATTTTATGAAAAAAATGCTGATTTGTTCAACTCTCAAGGGAGAAAACTCCTCAACAATTTGAAACAATAATAGACTGTTATATATTATTTAGGTTGAGGGATATGAAGAAAGTATTAAACAGAAAGATGAATTATTAGATCAAGCTAAATCTAGAAACCTAGCAATATTTACTAATTCTAATAATGGTCTAGAGGAATCATTGGCAGAAAAAGACAGACAAATAGAAAGGTAGGATTTGTTGCTTATTATACTGTAATTACTATTTGTTATTTATCCAGAGATATATGTTTAGAGAGTTTACACTCTCAGTGTTCCTAAATAACCATTAACTCACACTATAGCCTTTTCACCTCTCAGAGTTTATTGAAAATTTTCAAATACATGTTTTATTGGTTAAATTCAATGAAGTGTGGTTAGCAAAAACAGGAAAAGTGATGGCGGTAGCCTATTGGAAGATAGGTACAAATTAGGGGCAGACTGCACAATTAGAGGGACAACTGTGGGTTTAAGGTTCCAAATATGAAAACGCTGTGGATGCACCTATGTCAATTAAATTGTGTATATTGATTATAAAAAACAGAAAACTGCACATTTCAAACTGTGTACCTTCATTATAACAAGTGTGTATATTAATTATATCAATATCTTTACATCTGAAACTGTGTATGTATATTATACCAACAGAACACTTTGTACATCTAAAACTGTGTATGTATATTATACCAACAGAACACTGTGTACATCTGAAACTGTGTATGTATATTATACCATCAGAACACTTTGTACATCTGAAACTGTGTATGTATATTATACCAACAGAACACTTTGTACATCTGAAACTGTGTATGTATATTATACCAACAGAACACTTTGTACATCTGAAACTGTGTATGTATATTATACCAACAGAACACTTTGTATATCTGAAACTTTGTATGTATATTATACCAACAGAACACTGTGTACATCTGAAGCTGTGTATGTATATTATACCAACAGAACACTGTGTACATCTGAAACTGTGTATGTATATTATACCAACAGAACACTTTGTACATCTGAAACTGTGTATGTATATTATACCAACAGAACACTTTGTACATCTGAAACTTTGTATGTATATTATACCAACAGAACACTGTGTACATCTGAAACTGTGTATGTATATTATACCAACAGAACACTTTGTACATCTGAAACTGTGTATGTATATTATACCAACAGAACACTTTGTACATCTGAAACTGTGTATGTATATTATACCAACAGAACACTTTGTACATCTGAAACTGTGTATGTATATTATACCAACAGAACACTTTGTACATCTGAAACTGTGTATGTATATTATACCAACAGAACACTTTGTACATCTGAAACTTTGTATGTATATTATACCAACAGAACACTGTGTACATCTGAAGCTGTGTATGTATATTATACCAACAGAACACTGTGTACATCTGAAACTGTGTATGTATATTATACCAACAGAACACTTTGTACATCTGAAACTGTGTATGTATATTATACCAACAGAACACTTTGTACATCTGAAACTTTGTATGTATATTATACCAACAGAACACTGTGTACATCTGAAACTGTGTATGTATATTATACCAACAGAACACTTTGTACATCTGAAACTGTGTATGTATATTATACCAACAGAACACTTTGTACATCTGAAACTTTGTATGTATATTATACCAACAGAACACTTTGTACATCTGAAACTGTGTATGTATATTATACCAACAGAACACTTTGTACATCTGAAACTGTGTATGTATATTATACCAACAGAACACTTTGTACATCTGAAACTGTGTATGTATATTATACCAACAGAACACTTTGTACATCTGAAACTGTGTATGTATATTATACCAACAGAACACTTTGTACATCTGAAACTTTGTATGTATATTATACCAACAGAACACTGTGTACATCTGAAGCTGTGTATGTATATTATACCAACAGAACACTGTGTACATCTGAAGCTGTGTATGTATATTATACCATCAGAACACTGTGTGCAACTGAAATCTGTAGACAATTGGTATATATTACAATGAATTTAGTTCTTATTAATAATTGACAGCTGTTTCATTCATTAGAGACCAAACATACCTTCACCCACCATCATAGATACATTCATTTTCTGTTAGAACTTGTACTTGCCTCCCTTTTCCAGCTGTTAATATATTAATCTCTATTAAACATATGTTATTTTGTCTTCTGTATTAGACCAAACACATTGATTCCTGGTTCTGATTTACTTATGATAGTCATAGAGTTCATGGTCAAGTACAAGTTTTGCTCAAATTAGATTTCATGGAAGGGTTGTTTACAAGTTATTGAGTGTGTTTTCTTCAAGTGTTTTTTGTCAAATATAAGTGTACACTATCAAAGAACACAATGAATCAATCTAGACTAATATTTACATATATTGAAATGAGGTGTTTTAAAGATTTTTTAACTGGTTCTGTAAATTTGCACCATTTCAATCAGATGTCTTTCTGTCAGAGGGTCTGTGTTTCCTGTAATTCTACTAAAATAAGAGTTTGATGGCGTCACTAATCACAATATATGCCTTTATCACATGAGGCCCTTCATGGTTAGTGACATCATTAAACACTTGGTTTTGGCAAGAACTACAGAAGTTTGATTGATAAATAGGTAAATATTGATGTTATCAATGTCCCCAATACACATAAAAATTTAAAAACCTTTTACAATCTCTTTAATATTTTGTTAATCAGTATATCATGATTACTAAAATACATACATTTGACAAAGCTGATCATGATTTTAAAGATATTGACATTTTTACATCTTACTTTCTTGCTTTTATAATACTCTGGAAATGCTCTTAATGAAAATAATGCTGAAAATGCTTTCATGGACATTGGCAACAAAGACATCATTGAATGATGCACCTATTTATTGGCTAGCACTGCATAATCAGATTTACCCAATTTTTCTTAATTCCTATAATTGGGACAAAATGGTAGAAAAATTCGTTCTCAATGCCAATATGATCAGCCAGGGGAACTAAGCCAAATAGAAAAAAATAAATTCTATAACCATCAAAGTAATTCTATGTAAGGTAGAAAGGTGAAACACTAGAAATATCCAGATGTCTACATGTCAGAAAAAAACAGAACTTTGCCTCAATTTTGGAAATATGTACATTTTTCATAAAATTTCAAAGTAAGATCTGTTTGATTTTATCTTATTCCTGATTCCTTAGTCACAATGGACTTAAAATAAATTTTCAGATATTTTCAAGACCTAATGAAGTGTAATAATTACTGAAATTCAAGAGTCAAACACAATTTTAAGTCAAAGGGATATTTTTGGGTATTTGAAAAGAGAAAATTAAAATTACCACTTAATTTTAGTAACTTAATTACTGAATAAAACCAGAAAGATTTCTGTACTAAATACTAAATAAAACCAGGAAGTTCTCTGTTATCTGTTATCATTTCTACAGTCTATCTTGTTATTTCATCTGTATACTCTGAACTTTGACCTCAATCTAAAATAAACAATGATATTTATTATAATAATAATTGATCTTATCATTCTCCCTTTTCTTCAAGTTTCTTGGAGGAACATTAGACCTCTTCAATAGACTACTGGGTGGTGTAGATCTTTAGTAGTCCCTCCAGAATAATAATAACTGCAACTTCAGCAACGTTTTGTGAAAATGCCAAGCTTTATGCTATGGTTTTTCTAGCTTGTTTGGTTGGATTCCAGTCATCTAAATACATAGTTATTTTTTGGCATAAAAATTATGATAAACGTGGAAATAATCCAAATTAAATATGAACCAAAAAAAGATATGATTTAAAATTATTTTAGAATTTTTTTGATTGAAATTTTCAGTAAACAACCAGAAAAGCTTGTTACAAATCTATCTGAATCATTAAAGATTGTAAAGAGGTTTTCTGATAGCATCAATATTCACCATTCCAACTTTCAATCAAATGTCTATGGTTTTTGCAATTCCATTAAAACTAAGTGTTTTATGACATCACTGTTACAAAATCTAATTATATCATAAAAGAACTGATATTAACATCATAAAATGCTAAATTTGAGTGAAATTGCAGAAATTTAACTTCTTTACAATCCCTGTAAAAGTGGGCATTTAGTAGATTTATCCCGCCTATTTTGGACATTTTGTTTATAATATTTATTCTCATTTAGACATGAGATATTGCCTAAAGAAATTTCTTGTGTCTTTTTTCAGTTTGATCAGTTGTTACCCATATGTAAGCTTATACAAAGAAAAAATTGTGGACATCTGGACTTAAACTGAACCAGATTGAAAAAAAAAACTAAAAGTAAAAACATTATTTGATCAAAGATATATATAAGATTGTGTTTATACTTTTGGTTGTAAAAATTTCCCGTATCCAACCAGTCATTTCATTGAGATGTGGTCTATCAGACAATCCTATGATACATAAGGAAAAATTTTGGACATCTTGATTTGACTTGGACCAGACTGGGCTGAAAATTGAAACTAGTATTGTTATTATTAGTATATATTGATAGTAGAGTGTGACTCGTGACTAGGATATGGGTTAAGAACATGTGGTCTGGGCTCACTGCCATTGATATTTCACACTGTTTTCATTTCTCTATCATCAAGACAGGAGGTCAGGTCTCAAGTTCCATTCTAACATGTTAGATTCCTAGTCAATCTTTGATACATGCCAACGCAAAATGGATACAGACTTTTTAAAATATCTTTTAAAGTAAGTTTCTTGATTTTAACAGACTTTTTGTATTTGGAACACTTATGACAATCACAGAAATAACTGTTTTGACTGAATTCATGCACAAGTTCAGCATAGATTTAATAGTCATGTGTCAATGAGATAGAATAAGAGCATTTCAGTACATCATTGTGCTTCTATTAAAAGTTGAAAATTCAGTTGTGAGGATTTGAGACTTGAAAAGAAAAAACTAATGAATTACATATGTAAAGGGATTGTTTAAAGGAAGTCTAAACTCTCTATGAGTATCAAGTATAAACTTAGCTGTTTATTATGTCACTTTTGCAAAAGCTGCTCATAATATCTACAGTGATGTTATCAAACACTTAGTTTTAGTATAATTGTAAGAACAAATATCTGACTTCAAAATTGGAATTGTGCAAATTGATGTTATCATTGTCACAGATACACATAACAAATGAAAAAGTGCGAAAATTGGCAGAGTTTACAACAAGCATTTTCCAGTGGTTCGTTTCTCTAGATATTATACCATCAGTTTCTCTTACTGAAGAAAAAAAAAATGTACTGATATTTGATTGAAGTAGGACCCATGTCAGCAATTAAAGTTTCAAAGAAAAAGTTCAAATAAAAAAGTTAAATGAATTGGCAATTAAATTATTTATAAATTTGTCTTTGAAATTGTATACCAGTCTAAGTTTCTTGATATTATGTTACCAGCTAGTACCAATTGGTTGAAATTTTGACACATACATTTCATTTATATAGAGATGAAATATCCTTGAATGTGTATGTGTAATTAAGTATTTGTCTTTGGTTTACTCCTTAGTATGATTTAATCTAAACCAGAAGTATTCTCTAGACTTACCAGTATACCAGAAATTGAACCATGAAGCCTTAGATCAGTGAGCAACCATCTTATTCAATGAATCTCCGCAGTAGTGCTGGGTATTGATAATGCCAGGGTACGATACTTAACAAAAACCAAACAATTTTATCACCATTTTATATCCATGGCTTCTAGTTATATGTGTAAACATAGTATGCCAAATATCATCAAGTAACAATAGACAACCACATTATATGATACGATTCAATATGTCAAATTGCGATATATCGATTCAAGGATATATTGTGCCAGTACCACACCCCTGGCTCTAATAAGATCTCTGAGAAGTTATTATGGAACTTGTTTTTTTTTTCTATATAATTGTAATGTAATATTAAAGTATGTGAGATTGTGAGTGTCATGTTACCAATATTAAGAATATAGTGTTGATTGAAATATTTAGTAGAAATAGTTGAAATATTTGGTTAATAGAAACTTAGTTAAACAGCATGATGTTTATACTATCAATTATAATAAACAGTCTAATATTATTGTAAACAGGATATTCTCTCTATTACTGATATATCAAGAATTTTAAATTTACATTAACAATATTTCAACTTTTCTTGGAAGAAAATCAAGATTTGACAATATCCAATACATAGGTGTCACAAAATTATCTTTTTACAATAGCAAAAATTGGACTTATGAAAATTGAAGGATTCTCAATAAGTTTGTGTAAAATGTATTCTCCTCTTCCATGATAAAACTAAACGAGGCTAGATTAAGCCAGGGTTAAAGATATGACATATATTCATGTAGTACATCTTTTCCTGTTTCCTGTACTGTTCTTAAACTAATGAATACATTGTAATGCATAATTTGACTGATCTGTATCATAATTTTTTTTGTACTCGCAACTAAAATATCATTCAACATTTTGCAACTTTCATCAGTTAATGTAAAACTGAATGTACCTTGATCATGAACCAAATAAATCCTTGCATCTTTTGAGGTGTGACTCTTTACTTTAATGTTTATCTCATAAAAACCATTGGCAGATAATTCTGGCATTTCTTATAAAAATTTTATTATTGTATTGAATTAGTATCTTACAATTTCTTTCATGGCTTTGTTCGTAATCATTGTATAGTCTAACACAGCAAACTAAGAATGTTTGAACAACCGGCACCATGGAAAAGGGCTATCAGTAATTTTACATGCTATTGTTTGGTTCTTTGGAGGAAATATCTATGATTTTTCTTTTATTCTAATTTGGGGCAATAAGTAGATGTCTAAATGAAGAATATTAATGAGTCCTCTGCCAATGCTTCTTTCAGCAGGTAACCAATCAATTTAGCTCTCAAAGTTGCTGATTTGCTGTAGTATAGTTAAAATGATTTTCTTATTAAGATAATGGTATATTAATATAATGTATATTTCAGATTAAAAGAACAAAGAGATAAAGCTCATCAAGAACATGGTGAAGAAACAGAACAATGTACTAATAAATTACAGGAAACTAAATCTCAGATAGAAAAATTACATCAAGAATTAAACAGTAAACAGGTATATCTATATATATTCTATAATGTATAATTGCAAATATAATGCTCATATATATCCTGAATTCTTTTCTACCCTTTAATAATTGTATCAAAATCTATTAAATAACCACTTGATTGGTGACAATCACAGAACGTTCAATAAAAAAAGTTGGAACAGAGTTCAGTATGCGTCCAACATGTGTCGAAAAAGTGGTGCAGATAGAATTTAAAATGGCAGGGAAGGAAATAGATTGGAAAATTTGAACATGACATATCCAGTTTCATACCATATGAAACAGACAGAACCTTTTCAGAATTCTCCAATTCTAGGATATCCAAGAATGTAGTCACTGTCATTGTATTTTATTGATGGTGGACATGTTGGTCATAAGTACAGGTATGATGAGCGTATGTTTTAATTTTCTGCTTTTTAATTATTTCTATTTAAATTCTAGACTGAACTCTGTGAATTAAGAGAAGAAGTAACAGAATTAAAATCTGAGAAATTTAAATTTGAATCTAAAATAAGACAGTTAGAAGCTGAATTGGTGGATAAAAAAGATGAAATAGAGAAATTGATAGAAAAACAATCGGAAGAGGTCAGTATATATTTAGTTTGATATGGAAATATTACCAATTAGATCTGTTGTATTAGACATTTTGTTACAGTCTTTCATGTTGTGGCTAATGGAACCCTGGTAAAATCAAAACAATACCATCAGAATTTTCAATCCAGTCACCCTTCTAATCTAATGGTACGAAACATTTTTGCTCAGAGTTTCACATTCTTTGCTCGTTCAAAATCCCCTGACTGTTTGATATTGCTAAAGAGTAGTATTTCACTCATTGCACACTGTATGACGTTGATTTTACCTGTTTTCACTACAGACATGTGTAAAAGATGCAAAATGTCATGATACATTGCATGCTTTGTGGGTACATTCTTCAATGTAAGGCTTATTCTGTTTTTATTACCAGGGAAATCATGAAGTACATAGTAAAGAACAAACAGAAACATCAGAGAAAGATTTGATGCAGTTACAAGGGTCTGTAACCCAATCTCAGAATGAGACATTAAAAGCCCAGAAAGAGGTTGAACTTTTGAAAGAAGAATTAAAGAAACAGGAAACAGAAGCCAATGAAAAAGAAGAGAAAATGAAAGAAATGGCAGAGTGAGTAGATAGTAACCTAGTTAACCATAGTTAAGAGCAAATTACAGTGGTTACCAACAATATACTTTCTTGTGACTTGCTACTTAACTGAAACTAGTTAGAACCATTCCTTCCTAAAATGCTGTAAAGTTTCAAAGTAAACTTTAATTTTTCAAATTTAAAACTTTCAGATAATTTATTCCTTGTTAGAAATCCTTGTTTATTTGATATCATTGGTCAAACTGATAAAATCAATAACATTTTCAGAACTATTAAAGAATATAAAACTAAAATGGGGACATTAAAAAGGAATCAACAGTCAGAGAAGAAGAAGAATGCTCAATTATTAGAGGAAGCATGGAAACGTGAAGTGAATTTAAATGAAGATTCATCTCAATTACTTGTAAGTTTTCATTTCCCTTAATTTGTAAGGATGACACACTTGATACCACTCTAAGATTGGGTTTATTGAATCTGTATATCTCATGGAAACTTTGCTTTTCTTATAACAGAGTTGATATTATCAAACATTACCTTGACAAAACAACTCCTTTTGATAAAAAATAAAATCCATAATCATTAGCTGGAAACCAACCCATGCTTTCGTTTAAATTTGCACTTCAAACATTTGCACTTCACAACATTCAGAAATCATAATCTTGACCCATTTTCCAAAATATTTTTGAAATAGGAAGAGGTAAATGTTGCCTGGTGTCTCAGAATGGAAAAACACAACAGTTCTCAGTCTATATGATATAGTAGCTTACTTTATTTTGTATGTAAAGTTATAGTACTATCATATACTAACCTATGTAATTTGATTATATTTAACTAATTAGAGTGAAGTAGATGTAAAATCTAATCGTATTGAAGAGTTAGAAGAAGCTTTAAGAGAAAGTGTTAAGATTACTGCAGAAAGAGAAATGGATATGGCTGAACAACAACAAGAATTAGAAGAAACGAAATCCAAGGTAAGAAATAGAAGTAGAATTCAGTCTAATTAGTAAACACTATCTGATTGCTATGAGATATATAAACTGATAAAAAATGTTAGTCATATGTGATGTATCACTGTATAATTGATATATTCAGCACTATTGTAACAATGAAAACATTTTGTTATTATAAACATAGACTAATGTGCTTCAAGATGCAACATACACTGTATACAATGGACAATAGACATATGCCTTTTAATTATGAGCCAACCAGAGCAGATTTCAATCTAGACATTATTGATGACGCAGCATTATTCTACTTTTTGGTCATAAGTACTCTGACACCAGAAACTTGTATAATTTTGATGAAATATAGACTAAAAACTACAAGGAAATTTGAACATTTTAAAGTTTGACAAGACATGGCATTATAATACAGGTGAATTATCTGAAAATCTATACCATGTATTGTTGTATAATTATAGTTGACAGAATTAAAGAATGAAATAGAATCTATTAGAAATGGTACCAGTGATCAGAATAGTAAAATATCTAGTCTTAATAAAATACTAGAAGAAAAAGATGTCAAATTACGTAAATTACAAGCTGAAAGATTTAAACATTTAGAAGAAGTTTTTGAAATGAAGTAAGTTATGTTATTTTTATATGTACATTGTTAATACAGATTCAGATCTACTGTTTCATGTTTTATTCACAGTTATTACACTGATCTGACAAGATCTTTATAACATGTTTAGTCTATATTTAAAAAAAAAGTATTGATTGGTACAGAATATTTAGTAGGGATATCTGAAATCTGCCTCATAAATTTGATGTTAAATGTAATACAGTACAAGCATTTTTTTCAAAAACTTAATTTGTTAGCCTTTGAATGTTGAAATAAACAATATTAATTGTAGACAAGAGGCTATCCAAGCTGCTATGAGTGAAAAAGATGCTAATATAGCACTTTTAGAAATGACAAGTACTAAAGCTAAACGTAATACAGAAGAAATTATTAAGTTAAATAAAGAAAAAGAAAAATTACAAGAACAGTTAAGAGATGTGGTGAGTTGAATAGTTATAGTTATTTCTTCATAATGATCACCAGCTGGTAGCTTGTTGAATTGTCGTCTGCTCGGGAAGAACATGCTGTGGGTTTGAATCCTCCTAAAACTAAGAAATATTCAACAGTCATCCTGGTGTCAGCTTTCATTCCCTATCATCTACAGTAGTTATCAGGGTTGTCAGTTTGGATGTATTTGCCAGAATGGTCATTTCCTAACCAGATGTCCTGATGAAGAATTTATATCTAAAACCTGTGTTTGCAGCATAAAATGTTGTTTATGGGTCTCCCAGAATAGTCTAGGAAACTCATCCCTTCTATAGTTGTTTTGCCACTAATTCACTTTTTCTGTTATATTTGTAGACTCAGAATCGTATTAAACTAGCTAGTAAAGATGATAAAGGTAAAGAAAGAAAGAAATTATTACCCCAGAAGTTACGAACTCCAGATAAAGTTGAAGTGAATCCTATTGGTCAAGTATCTCCTAGTGATACAACAGCTCCACCCTCTACTGATTCCTAGTATTAACCTTATTTCTGTATGTAATTATTCTCTAGCCTGGTGACTCAACATTACATTTCATAACACTTCCTGTTGGATGATTCACACAGTGAAATGAGAATTCTCAGTGATGAAAAATGAATTGAAGAATAGTAACTTATTTATTCAACTGTTATTCTAAAACAAGTGACAGTAATGTAATGTAGTGTCCTTGGGCCTCTAGGAAAGAAAATTCTTATATCCAATGATTTCATATATAGGAATGTATCTTGATCTGAGGCAGTTAGCCACGGTGGCTCAGTGAAATAGACATTTAATACCTTTGGAAGTTTCAACCCAGTTTCATCCTGTTAGTGATGTAAAAAGCTAGTCGAGCAGATGGCACAATATACCATAGTCCAGTATGCTTCAAGCTGTTAGAAATCAAAATAAGAGTAGGCTAATGCTGCTGTCCTGGCAAAATTTCTCTAATTGCAAACTCTGAATGGTATTGTCTGTCTTCATTACCCAAATTACATTCTTGAAGATCTTGTCCATCAGCTGGTTCTTGGTTTTGATCTTTCCCCATATCCAGACCCATTTACAGCTATAGCTGTGCTACATGGAATACTGAGGAAAGCCCATTTCACATTGAATCATCTTTCAGTATGATTTGAACTAGCTATCAATAGTAGGTAAGTTAGAAGCAGTATTCTACTAGATGAAATTATTGGATATAAGAATAGAGAGTTGAGTATTTATACTGGTGTTCTTATTTCTTACATTTTATAATTCAGTGCTAATATTTGTGCAATATATATCACATGTAATCATGTCTAAAGATTAACTTAATTTTCGTTTAAAAAGGTTAACCTTCATTAATCTTAAATAATTTTTTCTATGCTTATTGTCAACTTTCTAAATGAAAGCAGTCAGAATCACATCTTTGTTTATAGAAATAGAAAGATAAACTATATTTCTATATTAACAGTAAAAATATTGTACGTGTTTCTATAGATAGATAACACAATCTTGAATATATACTTCTAGAATGATTTGTACTTTTAAAGATGGGTTCCCTTATTTTATGAAAATGAAAATACTAATACTTATATGAATAGAAAGTAGAGGTGTTATAATGGCTTGGAAAAAAACTAGTTTGCTAACTTAGAAGAGAATTACCAGCAGAATTCCAATGAGTGACCGATCAAGAAAGGTCAAAAAGTATTTTTTTGCTTATCCAGACTGTACATACATAGACATTTATGATTGGTTAAAACTTTTTATTATATGCATTAAGAACAAAATGATATGATTAAGAATACATGATAATTCATTAGAAAGCACCAATTAATCAAATTGTTTGCTTGAATTAACATTAAAAAATAAGGAAACCCATCTTTAACTTGCATAGTTTTGATTTGATACAAAAGAAAATGGAATAAGTCTAATTTATTCAGCTTTTGTTGAATATTTACTGTATATTACAATCTGATAAAAACAATGTCATTTTCTAGTTAATTAGTATTTATATTTATTTATATAAACACTGCCCTTAGTTTTTTATATGTTTTATATTCCCTATAACCTAGATATAAATATATAACATAAACTTATATAAGTTACTGTTAAAATATCTTCTGTTTGTAGTAATTATAACCTTTTTTGATTTATATGATCCATACATAACAGTAAGCTACAATAGATATTTAGCTAGAAAGAAATGAAATCTACACTTCTATTTTATTCTCATGTCTGACATAGGTCTCTAGAAGTGTGTCACAAAATCAATTCCTTGATTTTATATCGTCAGCCTATACTTTATGTCAGATATTTTTTAAGGGCATTTTCTTTTTGAAATAATACCATTACCTCATAATAACCATTTCTTTATAAAGCTTTAAGTGATTTTTTGAAAACTTCCATGCATAATCTCCAAATACTTACAATTTCCAAATGTATACATTTGACCTATGAACTTTCCACAGCTGTTATCATTGTAACCCAGCGTCCTGTACATTGGTGCATAAGTCTCACATGCATACAATTTTACTAATTCATTATGACTTCATGATACATTTACTTCAATACTTAGTTTAGAGTCACTGTCAGTTTAGGAATTGTGTCATTTTATGTGAATCATTATTTCTTCAGCAGACTGTAGGCTTCATATTATATGTTATTTTTATGTGTATAATACATGTGCTGCCCTTTAAATAGTCTAACCTATCTCTGTAACCTTTATTGCATCCTGTTACTTCACAATCTAATACCTTGACATCATTAGGCACTTTTCTTGTATCACACAAGTTTTTTAAAGTAGTAATTTGATTAGATAGTATGCCAACTGTGAAAAATATGGCTGCACATGTAATCAAGGGTTTAGATTGGCTATATTCACTAGCATACAATCCAATAGAGTTGATTCTTTCACAAACTGACGAGATACAAGAAAAGTGCTAAATGATGTCAAGGTATAAGAAGGAGTGCATAATACCTTGACATTATGAAGAAGGCTCTGTGCATGCTATATGTGTTATGTATCTTAGTATATGCATGAAATGAATGTAGAAATTGTGTATGTATCTATGTATCACTGTGTATATGTTGGCATGTATCATGTATATAATTTATTAATTATATTCAACAAATCATCTTGCCATTGTTAGCCTATACTTTAATTACCTTCACACTGACTGCTGGTGTATCTCCATTCATATAATATGGTACTGATGTAGTACCCATAGTCATATTCATTTAATAATGCATAATATTAAGTACTTAAAGAAAGACAATAGTATTAATATTTCCTTTGTCCAAATTAATAAAATATTCAAAAATAAAGAAATATATCAAATGGTTTATAAGACTTATTCTCTGAGCAAAGCAAAAATATTTTTGAATTTTTTTTATATTTTGTATTCATTTGGAATACTTGACTAGATATTTGCATTGATAAAGATATCAATTGTTTGTAAGTTTACATTGAAAGAAACACATTTCTGTCCTAGAAATTTCACACAAAATGAAGTACTTATATGTTGACGCTATTCTAATTCTCATAAAAAATATTTAAAAATATACTTTTTACTTTGCTCAGACAATGTTATTTCCAAAATTTAAAAAATGATAGAAATCTCATATTTCTGATAAGATAGAGAGATAAACATGAGAATCTCAAAACAAAAAGTCAAAAAAAGTCATCTTTACAAAATGTTCTATTTGCAGTAAAACCCATCTATACAATAAGTGTTTTATGTCTTTCTTTCAGTTTTGGGTGAGTTTTGCATCAGTGTTTCTATTGTCTAATGTAGCAAACTTTTATTGATGTTTACATATATAATATTTCATTGATCTAAAGATGTTACAATTTAGAAATCCACAAGTGAATTTTCTATACCCTACATGTAGCAGTGTGGCTGAAAATAATCCAAATGTAGTTCAGCACTAGACTTGCTGTAGAGCATGAATATATGTAATAAGTTGTCTAAGATTTAATTAGGGCTGAATATTATTAAAGATAATTGTTATTTTTAGATATTTATTATAATTATATATGTCAATTAGCCCAAGAAAACAGATCTGATGGATATTTTACAGATTTTTTCCAATGAAGTATCCCTCAGTTTGTGACCTATATCAGCAGTTAACTGACTTAAGTGTATTTAATAAGCTATTTATAATAATGCTTGTATGTTTTTATTATTATCTAAATAAAATGATAATATATGTATTGGTTTATATTCCCGATTCAACCTCTATAGCATGTGTTAAGGATAAGATAAATTGGCAATTAGTATGAACAGAGAACAGAGTGCACTTTTGTTTTCATTTTAGTTTTATTGGATATATCCTGGTGTAGATATAATAGAGCCCATTAATAACAGGAATAACCGGATGTATTTCTGACAGAGGCCATTTATAAGAGGTATGACAAAATGTATTTCTGATAGAGCCCATTAATAGCAGTAATAACTGGATGTACTTCTGATAGAGCCCATTAATAATCACATGTATTAGTTGTCTGTTAATAACAGGAATATTCCGATGTATTTCTGTAAGAGGCCATTTATAAGAGGTATAACCAAAGGTATTTCTGATAGAACCTAATAAGAATAACTGAATGTATTTCTGATAGAGCCCATTAATAACCGGATGTATTTCTGATAGAGCCCATTAATAACAGGAATAGTCTTATAGAGTCTATTAATAACAGGCATAATCCGATGTATTTCTGACAGATGCCAATTATAAGAGGTATAACCAAATGTATTTCTGATAGAACCTAATAGGAATAACCGAATGTATTTCTGATAGAGCCCATTAATAACAGAAATAATCAGATGTATTTCTGATAGAGCCCATTAATAACAGAAATATTCCGAATGTATTTCTGATAAAGCCCATTAATAAAAGGAGTAACCAGATGTATTTCTGATAGAGCGTATTAATAACAGAAATATTCGGATGTATTTCTGATAGAGCCCATTAATAACCAGATGTATTTCTGACAGAGCCCATTAATAACCCGATGTATTTCTGATAGAGCCCATTAATAACCAGATGTATTTCTGATAGAGCCCATTAATAACCAGATGTATTTCTGATAGAGCGTATAATTCACAGGAAGAAGCGGGCGTATTTCTGATTTAGAGTTAGAGTCCATTAATAACAGGAATAATCGGATGAATTTCTGATGGAGCGTATAATTCACAGAAGTAATCATATTATTTAATTCTGATGGAGCCCATTAATAACTGGAATAATCGAATCAGTAAAAGGAGTAACCAGAAGTATTTCTGATAGGGCGTATTAATCACAGGAAGAAGCGGGCGTATTTCTGATTTAGAGTCCATTAATAACAGGAATAATCGGATGTATTTCTGATAGAGTCCATCAATAACAGAAATAATGGGGTGTATTTCTGATAGAGCCCATATTATGACAGAAAAAACGGTTGTATTTCTGATAGAGGCCACAGTAATATCAAGGTGTATTTTTTATAGGGCTCATAATCACAAGAAAATTCGGGTGTATTTCTGATAATGCCCATTAATCACAGGAATAACAGGATGCATTTCTGATAGAGCCCATTTGTACCGGATGTATTTCTGATAGAACCCATTTGTACCGGATGTATTTCTGATAGAGCCCATATGACAGAATTAACCGGATATGTTTCTGATAAAGCCCATTTATCACAAAAACAACCGGTGTATATTTCATAAGCCCATTTATCATAAGACAAACCGGGTGTGTATTTCATAAAGCCCATTTATCATAAGAACAGTCGGGTATATATTTGAGAGCAACTCACTCACAGAACCCACCATGTGTATTTTTGATATCGTGCGCATTAATCAGTGGATTAATTTTTTAAATATTACATTTTATCTTAAAAACGACCATCTACCTGTTTTTTTTCGTTGTTGTCCACATAGCACAGATTGGGTTGACGGTTAGCTAGTTTTGTATACATGTATAGACAATGTACTTTGTATGTTATGATTTCAGATAACATTGCGACGGCATGAAAATCAAACATTGTTCACATTAAATAAAAAATAGCGAGCATTATAAGAAATTATATGTAGATATAGGTGGTCTAACCGTATAATTAAGACCCATTTCACTTAGTATAGTGTTTGAAATGATTATCGCAAATTGAAAACAGACATAAAAACCATTAATAACTAGCTTACTAACGGGATAGCCAACAAAAAGGGTGGTGTAAGGGAACAAGCCAGAAAAGGTGAGTGCATGTGTCTATCTTATCTTATATTTTTTCACTCGATATTCAGATCTCTCAAACCTATCCAAATTATGGAAATAATGCTACAGTGGTTAGAAGCAAGAAAACAGTTGGGGAAAGGACATATCAAGGATACAACAATCGCAAGTAATAGCCTGAACCAATACTGGTCTCTGACACACAGATTTCGAGAAATTTGGGACTAGATGAAAGAGGATATGTGTTTCTTGTCTTTTTCGTGGTTGCGAACTCCATCTGTATATTTTTTTCAGGAACAATGTCTCTCGAGGGTCCACATATCTTAAGATGTGATATGAAAAGACTGATGAAACAGGAAGCTTTACAATGTGTACGGTTCGCTTGTAGAAAATTTAAAACATCTAAAGCTATGGCAATGTATATTAAAAATAGGTTTGACAAAGTTTATGGTTCGAACTGGAATTGTATAGTTGGTAAAGATTTTGGCAGCCACGTAACATTCTGTAGACTGACGTTTTTTCATGCCACATATGGTGAAAGGGCTGTCTTGCTGTTTCAAACATACTGATGTTAAATATGGACCATGCAATATTAGTAGTATACATTATTCTTAATGTGTTGCCAGGGAACTGTGAATTGAAGTTACAATATTTTTCTAAGTACATGTCGTAGAACGTTTCAAATTCAAGAAGTTTTTCTTTTGATCATATTGACAAGTTGACAATTTACAATAAAAAGAAATGTTTAAAAGAAATTAATGTCCACTAATGTATACAGATGCATAAATTACATTTTACATAGTGAAATCATGTAAAAATGTAAAAAGATTAAGAAACAACAGTTTTTATGGATATTGACAATTTATTATTGAACACAGCGTTTTATTACACATACAGGTAACGTTGTCAAGTGATTGAATAAATTGGTTCAATAATAAATAGAAGTCTATATCCATAAAAACTGTTGTTCCTTAATGTGCTGTGATAGTCTAAATGCCTTACAAGGCTTATGTAAAAAGATGTTATAGATATTTCACAATTTATAACGGAAATCAGTGCATATTCGCACTTTAATAGGCGACCTTCTTGGGAACAATTAAAATAATTTGGCCTGTAACCAATGCTAAGAAAAATTAAAAACAAAAACACAAAAGCAGAGACTGGAAACAGATATTACTTATAGTAATCTGTAGAATAATCCGGTTTAGATGGAGATTGGGTGAGAAACACTGAGGGTAAGGTGAGATCTGATGCTATAGGGTCAACTTGAGGATTGATCGACGGTAACGTGCCTTTATTAGGTGGACTGTCAGCTGTGGACGATGACAACTTTTTAACAGAGGGAAGGGTTACTGAATGTCGGTTACCCCTTATCTGAGTGTTCTGTCTCGAGTTCTTAACATTGTCTTTTCCTGCGTTTAAAAGATCGGGCGTGTCTAGAGTCCGGTCCCATACATGTACCTTTTTGCGTCGTCGCACAAGTTTTTTTGCTTCTCGTCTTCGAATAGCAGATGGTGTGGCATCTTTAACACGTTTATTAATCATGGGCTGAATTTCAACCTTGGCGGTACCAATACCATATTTTCCTAAAGCACTGCTCAAGCCTTTCCTCCTATTCATTCGGGCAAATTTGTCCAAAAGTTCACGATGTGCGACGTAATCTTTTAAGGAATGTCGGTGTAAATCCATTTCACTGTCTGATTTACGCGTAAAAATACCTCTAGCAGCTTCCACCTTCCCTTTTGAATAATCCAGTTTACATTCCTGAGATCGGTTAAGAACATTGGTTAATTTAGACCTTGTTTCAACCTGTCTCTGTAGAGCTTCTACTCGACTTTCAACAGAAAAAGCTTTATTAAAATCATCAAACACAACTCTCCTTGCTCTCATCGTAGTACTGATATCCGAACTCATTGTAAAGATTTCACTTTGTCACTTTGTTCTTACGTTTTCCCTCAAACTCAAAGAAGGTTCAAAATAAATACTACAATAGGTTAGATAATCCACAATATGTAAATTTCGGTGTTTCGAAAGTCAACTATCTGACATTGACTACCCACAAAGCGACTAGCACTGACGGCTGTTGAACCTTTATGTTTTAGATATCCTTGAAAGCAAAGGTAAACACCTGTTTAATATCATATAAAATATATCAAAGACACTGCACTCATAAACAATTGCACTCCGATACACGGGGTGTTTCAAGTGTTATTCTGTAACTAACACAATATCACATAGATATCAATTATCACAATCCATTCATTGGCAACAAATCTCTTTATGTGCTATGCAATACACTGTTAACAGACTGTTCGAATATACCATATTGCTGAATTCTCGATATTGCTTTTTTCTTTAGTAGATGTACCTGAAAATAGAAAAAAGCGAGGAATTTAGAAGATATATAAGCAATAATGGTTGATGACCAAAATTTACAAAATGTCATGCATAATAGTAGTTGCAGTCGCAATAAATATGGCTAATTGTGTTCCGTTAAAAACGTATTCAGCATTTTATCCTGTTTCTCAAATTTGAAACAACATTAGTTAAAAGTGGTTTAAAACTCAATTCGAATCCACTGGTAACTGGCTCAGTTGTAAAAGAAATATTCTGTAAACAGACCCTCGAGCTGTTTTTGTTTTATTTACACCATCCTTGCGTGATGTAATTCAATTCCCTTTGAAATCAGTTGATATTGATTAGATACTCTTTGATGTTTGTCTATTCTGAGGCACAATACATTATTCTTTTATCTATCACAGCATATAAAACATTTAGTTTCGTTTACATAAACTTTTAACTTGGGGTTTATCATTGCTTTCTCAAACTGAAATTCTCAAACTGAACATTCATGAAAATTCCAGTGAACACGTCTGTTGATATTTAGAGAAATCGAGTTATGGCTATATTTTGGTTCTCTAAAAATCAAAATATTTCAACCATTGAAAACTAAGAAATTGAATTTGTGATAATTGGCTTTAGGAATCGCTTCCTGTGATTATGTGATCGATATGAGCTATTTTAATGCATTCAAGTGAAATTCTATTATCATTCCCATGTAACACTCTCACCAATTATATCGATTTATACTGGCTGAAAATCTGCAACATGTTTAGAAAGCCATACAAATTTGTCGCCTTGAATGAACACAAACTTATTGCAAGTTTACAAATTGCTTTACATAAATTGAAAGAGCCCAAAATTAACCAAAATAAAGGAACCAGTTTAGAGCTACGAACATCTCAGCCAAAAATAACAACTATCACCAGAGCATCTAGCAAGATTGAATTAGATTCACCGTTCTGTGATTCATTATTACCACCATCTGCACTTCAAGACGCTGAAGATGGTAATGATGAAATCAGAAGTTTTGGTCTCTGGGATGACGGAAGCTTGCAAACTGGTGATCAATACATCGGAAAAATACAATAAAAAAAAGTTTGTACTTACCTTTGATTTCCCATTCTTCAATACACAGAAAATCAAATATTAATATTACTAGACAGAATTCATAAAGCTTGTATAAATATCTTTACAATCAAATCATTTTGTACCATAATACCTTACACTTCAAATACTAATATAGAACAACTTATTGACTATACTTTGATGTATAATATATTAGTGTTTGCATATATACTTCGGTTGGAACGCTGTGCCACTCAACCAATTTCTGATAACCGCATAAACTTATTAAAAATGTCGATATAAAACTTTGACAGAAATGTAAAAATATCTTTCAATTCTTCTAAAATCTAATCCTTTTATCGGAACTATTGATACTCACAAAAGTTGTCAGTCTACACAGCTGGTGGCTTTACGATAGAGTCGGAACACCGACCACCACGTCAAGTCAAAAGACCGTCTATACATTCAATGAAGCGTGAAAATCGATATATAAATACTAATAATAATGATATCACAAAATGTCAATCTTGAAATTGAAATTCATTTAATGCCTCCTGTAATTGGATAATCCACTAATCCTTTGATCATAGATTAGTTTATCTCTTCCTTAAATCTTTAGCCCATGAAAGTCAGAGCGAACTTTATTTTCATATTCACACTCCCCATTTCAAGTCCCATTCTATAGTTATATATTAGCTGGTTTGAATGACGGAACGTGTAAAGTGGTGTATTAAGTGTTAATAATGAATGTTTATTATACCTGCTTTACCTTATACTAGGTATGTATGTTAAAGAGAGCTTATTAGAATCTTTAAAACAAATGGCTAACAAAATAAATAGGTGGCCAAAAATGAGGGAAATCTTTTCATAGACTGCATTCTAGAGCTGATTAGACAAGGTTCATCTTATAACAATGATCTTAGCGGATAAGATTAAGTTTATCCTATGACAGTGATCTTAGCTGGTGAGTCTAGGTTAATCATTTGACTATGATCTCAGATAATAAAACAAGGTTCATTCAACGACAAAGACCACAGATGATACAACTAGGTTCATCATATTCCAAGCGATCAGCTGCCAAGACTGGGTTCATCCTTTGACAAAATCTAAACCTAGAACCATGGTTTACCCTAAGACCCATTTTATCTTTAGTGGGAAGTTTAGGTTAACACATAACATTGCGGTTAAGTAATGTTATGAAAGCACAGGCATGCAGGATTAGGAATTGGCGTTAAGGAATATCTATCCATTCCAAAAATAAATAAAATATCAAGTCTTGAGTTTGTATCTAAAATTTATTTCCACATGACAACGCTTGACAAACATAATAGAACATAGCAGGTAGGGTAAAAGGTTTAGACGTAAAACACAAGGACAATATAAATACAATGTGCCAAGATATCTATTTACAGATGCAAATTTAAAATATTTTCATGAGACAATACTGGTATGTTTATAGAACTGATTGTACATTGATGGCAAGACTATAGGCGTATAAAATGGCTTTCAAATTACTTCAGGTTTTGATGACAATTTCAACATTTTGGTTTTGGTTTTTCACTGTTGGGAAAAGTTGCATAAGTAATTTGATGGTCATTGAATATGCCTTTTAATTCAACGGCTTTACAAAAGACATTAAATGTTTGTGGTGCTGTAGGGACAAGAATGAAAGAGCAATTTAGAAACTCAGTCGGAAAGCATTTTTTTTACATGCTTTCTTTTACAACATACAATTTAAATATTGCACATTTTTCAAAATCCCATTAGAGAAAGTGCAATTTATTTGAAAATATCTTAGTCATGTCTAATCGAGGGACAGAATAACTGGCTTTATACATCTCCAGCTTTTCAATAGCACTGATCAATGGTCTAGAATACTTCTAAATAATGAATTTTGAGTGAATACATTTTTTACATCTTAAGAATGGTAATTCAGAAATTTCTAAATTTTCAGATTTTGGAATAGGGAGCACAAAATTACCATAATTATAATGAATGGTATTTCTGAAATGGTACAGTTGTCTATGGGGAATCTAAATAACAGGACTCTATTGCCCTATATCAACCGGTATTAGATCAAGGCATTTCTCGTATATCATCGAAATAATAATTACAAAATCTACTTACTTAAATAAACAAAAAAAATGGTTTTAAATGATACAAGCAAACAATTATAACTGGATGGAACAAAGGGAAATAACTTTGAGTATGATTTGCATTTGATTTATTTTGCAATTAATAATTTTTGTTGAATACGTTTTTTTGAAAAATAGATGATATTTTGATTGAAATGTAACCATTAATGTAAGAATATTTGCTAAATTTGCAACAGAATTTGTGACTAGAAATTATGTGATACAATACAGTTAAATGCATTTAATAAATTGCGTGAAAAAGACCAAAAATTTCAAATTTCATAATATTATTTCAGATAAACTTAATTATAATAATTTAAACGAACTTTGAGTAGAAGTTTTACAAATGGAAACAAAATTTGATAAATTGTCACAATATGGTTTTATCTTTTTTGTATTTAGAAAATAATTAAACAAACAAATTATGAAGAAAGTCATGATGTGGGAAAATCTGCAAAGCAAGCATTTTGTCAAGACTACATCTTTTTACAGAGTTACATATAGAAGCTAATATATTACATGCTAGGTTATATACACACAATTAAATATCAAGGCGTTTTTTATCAAAGATTCAATTCACTCAAAATTGCATCTAATCCAGCTAAAATTAAATTTACTGAGTATCATTTCAGTAAGATTAGAGACAAATAATAAGTGATGTGATATAAATACGCCTATATTATAGATCAAGATATACTCAATTCACAAAATCATAGTTAATTTTGAAAAAATAATCAACCTTTTCATATTGAATTGAGCCATATTTGATCTTGTAAAACCAGTTTAAGACTAGAATTAAACTATACTATTCAAACTATGTCCACTCTCTAAAACAATTTGTGGGACTTAATGTTCTGAGCAATTCAAGTAAAAATTGTCATTATTGAAATTCTATTGTAAAACTAGGGGCAGAGATCAAGATTGTTTCTGACTCACTAGATGAAATTGAAAAGTAACTAATTTGAAATCACTGCGTAATAATTATTATCAAAGTAAAGAGCATTATATCAAAAAATAAATAAACGCTTTTCAGTGTAGTCTGTTCTATAAATTATGCGTGTTTTTGTGATCATTCATGGAAAATATTTAAAGGGGTATAAAATCTTGCAAGATGTGAAAAGGCTTCAGGGTTTAGACTACAACTAACACAAGACTACTACACCAATCTTTGGTTCTCACCTTTGTCAATTTCATCCTAGAATGGAACATGAATGCCACAAAATCTTCTGTGTCCTAACTCTCATCACAATTTTTGATGTTCTACTCAGTTGCCACCTCAACAATTGTGCGTAATAATATCAGGCACAGAAAATTTTAAAGTGACAGATGCATATTGTAATAGCCAATCAAATTCTTTTTAACTACAACCAATCAAATTGGTCTTAATGACTGATTGGAAAATGGAACCAGAGGGTTTTGTAACAATTACATGTAACATTCTAGATATGAGAATGAATGTATAGTTCATATTTTACAAAACAGACAATAAAAATAGATGTTATAATAAAATTCAACAATATATTGTCTGTTTACACATTTACACAAGAAATATAAATCTGAAATACATAATCCTATTTGTATATATCAATTAATATTCATATCATGCAGTTCATTAAAAATATTTATTCCTTGATTCTCAACTTCTATGAAGTCCTTATTTATACAACTATTTTGCGGGTTGAAAAAGACCAAAATGTTGGATCTAAAGCTTAAATTTTCCCCATTTCAGTCAAAGTTTAACATGATTTCAAGATAACAAATCTTGTTTACAACAAATATTGTTATTAGAAATGTTGTAAACTTACATATTGAATTATTCATATTTCTCATTATTTAATACTTCAATGTCTTGTTAGATGAATAGTTATTCAGAATTAGTTGTTATCATTCTAGACTTGAATAAGATGTTATGTTTCTTCAAAATGAATAAATGTCTAGTTATTCAGACGAGTTGTTGAACATGAATACGATGAATAAAAAACATTCAAACTTCTTTTAACATGATTGTCTATTCCAGATTTCTCCTACATAAATATATGTCTGGTTATTCAGACTAGTTGTTAACACGAATAAGACATCAAGTTATTCAGACATACAGTACAATATATTATGAGTCTGGAAAGTTAAAGCAATGTTGATAAATATCTCACAATAAAAATATGATAATACATTTGAGGATTTCTTCAGTTAAAACCATATCTTCTAATTCAAAATATCTGAAATGAAAATCACATAAAATGAATTTCATAAATTTGAAGCTAAATCATATCTTGAAAAGTATATTTTAGGTAAAAAACAATGTGAAATCACAATTTATATATATTTGTAAACTGAACCTTGTATTTAAAAACAAAACAAATTTCACTATTAAAATCAAAAGATAAGAGATTTATTACAAACTTCATGTTCTAAATATGTCAAAACTGCACACATGACATGTTATGGTATCTTTCTCCAACATTTTATTGTATCAACACATCAACAATCCAATAACATTGTATTAAGACATTAAATGTATTTGTGAAGCATCACTCAAAATTTATTCCCACCACTCAAATCTTTTTAACATCACTCAAAGATTATTTACATCACTCAAAATCTATTTACATCAAAGATTAATTACCTGTTTTAAAATAGACCACAGTCTTTCAGGTTATTTTTAATAATGACATCAGTAACAGCATCAAATACAAACTGTACATTATTGGTATCAGTAGCACAGGTAAAATGGGTGTAAATTTCTTTTGTGTCTTTTCTCTTGTTGAGATTCTCAAACTGCATTTGAATGTAGGCTGCAGCTTCTTCATATGTGTTGGATCCTACAATAAATATTCGGATCAGTTTTAGAGTTACCCAGTTAAAAATTCATTAAGCTTAGGCTTCAACACCTAGAAATTTTAGGCAGAAAAAGCTGTAAAAGAACACTATAAGCCCAATTGTTTATAGAGAAAAATTCTGTCATTAGGTTAATTATATCAAATAAAAGAATTTCACTTAAATATAGTAGTCATTGAATATTTAAATCTGTAGAAATGTATGACAGCAGATGCAGACTAAATTGTACTCTAATGAAAAGTTAATAAAACTTAAGCTATACCAAAATGGTCAACTCAAGATAATTTCATTGCAGTAAAAAATCAGATTGATGCATGCCTTTAATCATATGGTTGAAAACAAGATAAAATCAATAACTTGATCTTACTGAAAATCTTAGTAATTTCATATAATTAATTCTAAAAATAGATATTGTTAATCAATTTTGAGTTAAAGGTTTCATTAAATTAACATTTTTTTTCTTCAAAAATTAATTATCATCACAATATATCCCAGAATTATTTATTTAACTTTTTAATAATAAAGCTAGTAATGCTTGTTATTTTCACAACCTCTGAAATTTGTTACAAGAACATCCTGATAAAGTTACATTACCAATACATTAGCAGTCTTTTTCTCAAAAAAAACCATAGAATGTTAGTCTAATCTTTAATATGGTAAAATACAACTTATTCTTTATTAATACCAAATTATTTGACAATTTTGCTTCCATATTCTCAAAAAAAAATGTAAAATTTTACAAAATCCTGATCTAAGATTTTCCCAGAAACAAGGTGCAGATATTCTATTTCCTTGGGGACAATGCAATGATTTAATGAAATAGTTCAACAAATATTCTTATCATTGATCTATTTTTATATTCTTATATTTTATATGCTTATAACTATAAATGTCACTTTATTTTAAATTCTTCACTGACTTTTATAGGCCATTTCATCATATATAACATTTTTTTAATTCTGAACATGTAAAAATCAGTCAATGTCAGTCAAAATAAGTTTACCGTTGAATATTCAATTATAACACTGTTTTGAGAATTTTATCAATAAGCTTATCTCTTGTGAAGGATAATGACTTTGACAAAGTCAATTGAAATTGGATTATTGAAAGATTATTGTCAAAATTCAACTCTATATTCTATAACTCTCTTAAATCTTAGCAAATTCAGAACCTAACCCAATTTTTCATCTTATTAAGTGACTCAATTAATTGTTAAGAATTTCAAAATAACATGACATTTTGACTACCAGCTATCATTAAGTTCTGAGCTTTGCTTAAATCATAATTATAAAACTTATGCATTTAACTTATATCCTGACCAAAAATATAGTGGAGGTTCATTTTTAAATAAATCAAAATCTGATAATCTCATCTTAATCCCAAACATATTCTTTATTATGCATTTGATTGCACTGTATGATCAATTCATACAATTATTCTTACCTGAGAATTCTGGGAAGCAGACGGTCAAAGGTGATTTCTTAATTTTCTCTTCAAACAGATCTTTCTTATTCAAGAAGAGAATAATAGAGGTGTCTGTAAACCATTTATTATTACAGATTGAATCAAATAATTTCATACTCTCCATCATACGGTTCTACAATTAAACAACAAAAACATTGATAAACATTCAACAAAACATAATAATCACTAAAAATATATAACATAACACAAAATGTTTCCTTGAATAAAATGGACAAAATAATATTCACAAAAAGAATTAGCTATCTCATTCAAATATGTCCGTAATTATCTCTCCATACATGTACAGAGTAATTGTACTAAAATTATGATTTAAAACTAGTTATAGCACATCTAAGTACCTCCCCACTCATTTTATAATGACAAAATCAAAGGAAATTCTCAATATTCTCAATAATTGAATTATCATGTAAAAAAATTAGTCTACCATTTCTTGGTCTTCAGCTAAAGTTAAATCATATTCACTCATAGCTACAATGAAGATGATAGCTGTGACACCTTCAAAACAATGGATCCATTTCTTTCTTTCTGATCTCTGTCCTCCTACATCAAACATTCTACAAGACAAACAGATCATAACATATACATCATAATCAAACAGATAACAGAATTTCAGCAACTTGTTTCACTTTCCAGAATGAAAATTTGAAATAAGCTTATATAAGAAAGTGACAATAGTTAAAGTTTACTCTGTGTCAAATTTGTCTACACCTTCACATTGCCATGGTATTCAAGTAAAAAATACTGCAGATGATTCCTTATTCAAAAGTTAGAACCAAAATATTTACTCTCGGGATCAGGTTTTCCTCAAATCGTTCCAGTACAAAACCCATTTTTCTAATGATAGTTCTCTCCAATTAGATTGCAATAATTACCGGTATTAGTTTCTAAATTATTTTTTGGGGGTTTTGAATACAAAATAGCTGCCATGAAATATGGTCTTTCATAAGATAAAATTGAGATAATTTGACATGAATAAATAAACAACATGGATAACTTCAATTTCCTTATAAATTCTTAGAATATTATTGGGTAAAATAGAGAGAGGTCATATATTCTGACCTAGATAAAAGTGTAAGTTATTTTGATTTATTATAAACAAGTAGAAGGAAGTAAATAAAACACAAAGTTGTCAAATACCCCTTACCACCCTATCAATAATTATTAATTACTACATATCTTATATCTATCTAAAGTAAAAGTAACTTTCTATAAGACTACTAATGAGAAAATTGCAAATATGTATTCAGAATTCTGAAAAATTTTAGAAACCAACCTCGACTGTATGACCTATGTTACATATAAACAGGGTTGTAAACTTCAACATAACAATATCAGTCATCAAAACATAAATTTGTGAATTGCTTCTTTCGTATAAATTCTTCAGCGCTTAAATTTCACTTAGTGTGATATTACTATTTACATAGAACCTATGCACTAGCTGTCAGTCAAAATGTCACATGATTGAGAAATTTTTACAATTAAGTGATCAATTTTATGAAAAATTTAGACAATGCTGATTGGATGAAAAAATGGTTTAGGTTATTAAACAATGCTCAATAATTTTTACTCTAATGAAAAGAAATTGATTTTCTAGTGTTTATAACTTTCTTTTTACACCTGCGTTATATTTGACATGTGAAGTAAGCTTGTGGAAAAGTTTAAGAGCAGTCCTGTTACCTTCAACTAGGTTCTGAAAGGTTCAACAGAACATTATTTTTGTAAGTGACTTGCATCAGGCAATGAGTTTTAAATAGATTTTAAAATATAATATTAAGGGTTTAAAACAATAGAAATCATTATACTATAATAGTACTATAGACCACAGGGTTAGACTAAATATTCTACTATTACTCTACAGGATGTAGATTAATCACAATTCATTTGACAGGAAGTGAACACTGACTATATTTTCCTTCATATCAGTTTACTTAACTAACAAGACTGTATCTAATCATTATCTTATCATAATGTTTTGTTAATTTTTCCTTATATACTAACATAATTGACCAGGTTTTGATGGAATTCAAATTTGATGGGAAAAATATAAAGGATACATGTATAGAATACAGTAACTCTCACAATAGAAGGCTTATATCATCAACTCACTTTTCAGAATGATAGTTAGGACATATAGTTCATTTACAATGTAATCACTGTTCAGCAATTTTGCCAGTATACTTCCTGCATTGTTGACCAACCAGAAATCTGATATTCATTGAGAATACTGTAGTTGAATTGTGAATCGAAGTAATAGTAACGACTATCTCTATATAAAGGTATATTTTTCACACAACAAAATATAACTTACTTGAAATGAAGGTCTTTAAATGTGAAATGTGTTTCAACAATACCAGTGGTTTTGACTCGAGTACGTAATACATCTTGTTCTGTGGGGATATATCCAGTATGTGATATTCTGTCCATAGCATTCAAATAACTGGAATAAAATATAATTTTTTAGATACAATTCAAATCATGGAACCAATATGCCATCATAATATGGACTGAATTAGTTGGGTTTTAAAGCATTTAAACCAATTTACTAATTTAATTTAAGATCTCTGATAACTGGATTTATTTCAACAATTCCGATCTTTCAAATGGAATAGTATTAAAAGTGAAGAAATTCCTAAAAACTCCTATAATGTAAAGCACTGCCAAGGTCACAAATAAAGAGATCTGCTAGACATAAAATAGGGTTATTTGAGGGTTTTTGCAAGCCACAAGTTTGTGAACTAAAGAAGATAATATTTTTGACTTACTATTCTGCGGAATCATTTAATTGATATTCTCTTGATCTACTGAAACATTCCTGAACACCAGAATCTTTCCATAATTTCTTCATAATAGTTGCTACTTCTGGTGACAATTCACCTTCATCAGCATTACCAGCTAGTGAGAAGAACTTTCTGGCATCTTCCTGCAAATATACAACAGACAGGTTGTCAATATACAGAGAAGGTAATATGTACTCTTTCGAACATAAGCTTAATCTTATACAAACGATCAATATAACATTATTGTACAAGTATTCTGAGTTCATGAGAAAGACTTTTAAAATGCATCTTTAAGGCTTTTCTCAACAAATTGAGGTATTTCCGTCATTATCATCCGTTTGAGTCTAAAAAAAACTCCACTTTCACGAACAGGAATTTCCTATCACAACAATTGCTGGCAAATAATACTAACACAACAGCCCTGATCAGTTACAAATTAGTTGTTTTATCTTAGAGCAAAGTAATCAATTTAAGTCAGATATTTTATTACCACACTGAAGTACATTTAATATCTAAAGGCAAATACAATAAGTTTTCTATCACACATTTTTAATCATCAATAAAGTAGCTTTTAGAATAACACTACTGCTACACAGTTTTTCCGATGTCATTTAAAAACTCAACTGACAGTTAGATATCAGAACAAGCTAGATAGATTTAAATTATTGAAGGTGTTCCTAAATAATGAATACCGGTAACTTAGTGTTTTTTGGTTTAAACTTTATCTCTTTTTCTACAGTACAGGTACATCATTCCACAACTTAGAAGTCTACTTTCAAAGGCTGATTTTGATGTATCTCAAATGATATAAAATTAATCAAATCCAATGTGATTCCAGGAAGCTGACTAAAGAAGATCTTTAGAAGTGTATTATAGGCCACATTTATTGTATCAAATAAATTCGAAAAAATTTTTATCTGCCATTTATCACGTGCACTCTCAGAACCTACTGTTATAGCACATTGATTTGTGAAGAGAAAAAATTGTTAGGAATCAGCGAGAAATTAAACCAATTTAAAAAGTTTACAATAAAATCTTAACACATGTTACAAGATGGCCGTTTCATTATAAACAATATATACCGGTAGTATGAGAACTGTTACATACATCTAGACTAAAACCAATAATTGGAACAATAAAAAATAACTTGTCAGACTGTTGTCTAAGTAGAAAATCTAAGATAATATTTTTTAAAGTGTCAATAGTGACTAACAAAGAACGAACTGACAGCATTTAAATCAATATATGCATGCCACATCATAAGTAATAAACATACTATATATCACATGTACAATTTTTATCTAACTATGATGCTCTACAATTCATGTATTGAGCATATTGAAAATATTTCATATTGTATAAGCTTAAAAAAATTTTTCATCTTTCAAACAATTAAATCTGCCAATGAATCTTTTTGTTGTTAGAAAATGTCAGACACTGGGAAATTTTTTTTTGTCGTTATTCCTGTAATATTAGAACAAGTTCTGGAAATATTTTACTTGCTATCAATGTTGCCCGCCATCTCAAACAAATCGTATCGGTACCAAAATGCTGTGAGCCACGATTTGGCCGATTTGGATATAAACACTTTGGCAAATCGCAAATATATATGTGAAATGTAAGCAAATCATTGTAAGCATTTTGATGTGTATCAATATGATATTCTTAAATATAAACACCTCTATAGTAATAAGTTGTACATTTAACTTTATTATTATGATTGATAAGATTATTACATATTTATACAGGTCAATCAAACCTTTCCTCATATCTCAAGTAGGTAACCTAATAATATATACTTCACTCTGCCTAGTTTACTACAGGCTGGTCTATTGTTCTAAATTATCAGCTATAAAACTCAAGTGGTCTTCTGAATTATGGTTTTGAATGACATGTTTACTTCTTAAAGTGATTGTAAAGAGGTTTCTTAAACTTTTTATGCATATCAGGGGCATCAATTTGCACCATTCAAACCTAGAAAGCCATTTTATCACCTTCATTATGATCATTTTTCAATTTTTTTTATCTCAAACATAATTCTCAGACCCATAATAGAAGCATGGAAAAACATGTACACACGTATTGAAATGAGTGCTGATCGCAACACCATACAACATTTATTTTATTGTACTTTTTGCACCTTCTAATCATTTGAGACGTCAAAATCTTTTTTTTTTTTTAAGCCTATAGTTATTCTATAAAATTATTTCCTTTAATTCATCAAATATGAGTCAGTGATATGGTGTTTAGAATTGTGGTGAATGAAATTTAATAACATAAACTATGATAAACATGATCAAAATATTCTGTCATGTATGAATATTAAGGAAGTAAAGAGATCTGATCCTGAAAACTACCCAATATATTTTCTCTTCATGTGATCCTTCCTTGACAACTATTATTGTAACATATCTTACTCATAGCAAAATCACATCTTTTGTTATATTTTGACTTGACATGTATTTGAATATCTTAACTTCATTAGCATAGGGTGAAACTCTTAGTATCAACATGATTCAAGTTCTGTTTTAATATTTCTATATACCTCTGTACAATTGTATTGAGCGCTATTTTAAAAGTAAAAATATTTTATTATTGTATCTGAATATTCACTTCAAAACAGAAATGATAGACTAACAATTAAGAAAGACTTTGTATTGATAAAAATATAAAATTTGGGAAGTTCACATTAAATATCCTCCTTCATAGATTTAAACAATTCTTACAAAATTGTTAGTATTTTTTACCAACAAATAAATCCCAGGACAGTAAGCTTAGTTAAACTATTTGGATTCCATGATATTTTTATATCTCTTGCACAACCCACTACATCCAGGATAAGTATCCAATATAGTAACTAGTAAATAAGCAGATTAAAAGTACTTACAGCTCTATCTGGATGTCCAAAATCAATTTTCAATAATCCCATAGCTCGAATAATAGCTATCATAGATTGTATGGTATTACTGTATACAACTGGTTTATATTGTAAACATTCCTCTTGAGAATAACCCTTTTCATGAATAATTCTGAAATAATCATATAATATATAGGATAATTCTGAAAAAATCATATCATTAACACAGGTAAGGTATTTACAATAATTCTGAAAAAAATCATAATATACCAGTTTTCAGAATAATTCTAATTCTTGGAGGCACAACAGCTCTTCTGTCTCTTAAGAGAAAACAAAATGGCATCAGCTATTTACTTCATTTTATATTTGTCTTTGGATTATGTGTCCCCACTTAATACAAAATCTCGAATTTAACCCCAATAAAAAAAAAATTTACATCTTAAATTATATGGATAAAAAATTCAAACACAATATTATTTTAGAAGTCTTCAAATAAAGAGATTGCAAAGGAGCTTTCATTTTTTTTAGCATCAATTTGCACCATTCCAATTTTCAATAAGACATCTGTGGTTCCTGCAATTCCACTAACACTAAAAAATGATATCATTAATCGCAAAATATGCTTGTATCACACAAGGCAGATCCACGATTAGTGACACTTGGTTCTAGTAGAATTGCATGAACCACAGACAGACGTTTGATTGATAATTGTAATGGTGCAAATTGATACTATCAGTATCCAGTATACATATACAATTTTAGAAAACCTCTTTACAATCCCTTTAATGTAGCCATGATCTTTGATATAAATACTTACTTCATTTGTTTAACAATGGTACTTTTTCCTGACTCACCAGCACCTGCAAATTGGATAAAAAGGAAATATTAGGATTGAGAAAGAAAATAATTGAGAATAAAAATAAATCTATGACTGCTAAAGTTACTTCCATTCATTCTACTAATGCAAGCAAAATAATATTGTGTACAAATGCACCAGTACTCCATTTATCAGTAATTTGTTAATCACAGTAATAATGACCTGTAAGTGTAAATAAGTGACAAAAACCCTGCTTTTTACATCAATGTCATGTACTTAATTACTGTGACACAGACAATTTATGACACTTAACTAGTAATAGAGATTGTATGAAAACTATACCATAGTAAGGCATAGTACAAATACAGGTATAGCCCCCTACTTATACCATTAGACTACTATAGATATTCCCACAGATGTTATAAAGCGTGACAAGTTTGAAAGATGTAGGTAAACAATACAGTAGATAAGTAAACTAAACTTGAATTCAGCCAATCAGTGCTAGCCCTATTGTAACCCCGGATTTTTCAAACTTCATCCCACAGAAAAGCTTTAATATAACCTACTGGTACTCCATAACTAGGCAAACTTCATTTTTTGAATTTACGTAAGCTTACAGGTTCACTTTACTTTACAAATAATATTAAATCAATAAGATACTGTACTATTAGTTTGAAAAACAACTCTCCTCTGGCTCTACAGTACTATCACAGGATGAATAATAAGAAACTCTTTGTTTCATGGACATCGGGATTCCCCAATTCCTTATGCCTTATGTCTTTATGAAATACTTTTGTACTGTTGTAACCTACATCTTGCTGATGACAATGGCAGTAAACGACATGTCATTCTAAGATTTTGAATACCGATATGAGGTTTTAAGCTTATAATGAATAATATGAACAAAAAATACCACTGGTCAAATTTGGGTAATAATTAAATTATTAATAATGATAAAATATTGCCTTGCAGGCTTGTCATCATATCTCTATATAAGTACTTTAATTAAAATTTAATGTTAGAAGTCAGGCGTGGTTGTTCTGTTAATTAAAATTGAGAAATGACTCATTTCATACTAGTAGATCTAAGTTTATCTAAGACTTAAATACTATTTTTAAATGCATTTTTAGCACTCAATATTCTTCTAAAATTATTCTGAAAACGAAAAATTCTGTTAGACCTGGTGCCCTAGCTAGATAGAATAGAAGCCAAGCAAGTGACACCTGGCTAGGCTAGACAAATATCACAATACCGGCATGCATGTATAGCACTAGCAGCATAAGGTGTAAAATCGTCAATTTAAATCTTCGACATTTCTATCACACAATTCGACTACAAAAGTAAGAACAACATATTACCAAGTAATAATAATTTCACTTCTCTTGACGATTTTTCACCATCTGCCTTTAATCCTTTATCAATTTGTTTGGATCTTTCCATGGCTACTTTGTCTTCCGAACTCGTAACGCACCCCATTTTGACGAGTTAGTTTTTAATAAACAACACAGAAAAGAATTGAAACCGAACGTCAAAGAAAAATAATTTCACTCATCAATCCTTAACAGATGTCGAGGGTAAATCCAGAACGTGGTGAATAAGATATTTTCCGGCTGTCATTCGACTTGGTCACAATTTCACTCTTTAAAGTAAGTCGCCCGGATGTAACGGGCACCTGACTGTCTTTTCACAGCCGAAGAGAAGTAAAGACCACCGAAGACAGCCAGGGATGTTAGTTCATTTTGGTCAAAATAATTAATCAATTTACAACTGGCATTAATGTGATTATACTGGTGTATTTTTATATATATATATTTCTTCTTACTATATCAAAAATATATACAACAATCATTTTCCTCTGCAGTGATGGATGAAGTCTTTGGCAGTGCTCCACTTACAATGATTTGATTGCATTATTGGTCCTTCATAAATACACCCATTTCTTATTTCATATATTATAGTATCTAGAGGCCTGTGAGTGCCTTGGTATGGTTTGTTTTCAAAATTAATGGGGATTTAGTCTATTTCAAAGTGACCCAAAAATTTCAAAAAGGCTAAAATGTGGAATATAAAGACTCAAAATGAGTTTGCTCATAGCCCTAGATAATCCCCTTATCGCCCTAATCTACTTTCCCTAGTAGTGGTTGATAGTGAGTTGAGATTGTTAAAGTAGTTTAATAGTGATAGTAACATTTCCATTGTAAAACCCGAACAGGTGAATTCGGTAGTGTTCTATGGTCTTCGGTTGTAAAAAGACACACGATCATCTCGTTAATTCTCGATCTGTACGAGAGCATAATCGCAACCCCATTAATATTTCCGTTGAATGTACAAAGATATCTGGCTACACAAAACGTAGAGTTTGTTTCACTGGCTTCTACAGACACTGATATTGCAATTTCATTGGACAATGAAGTTAATTTTATGAAATTTTCAATATGGCAGTTTTTGATGGTGATCAAGCTTTTTTTGTTTACACAAATATTTTATCTATTCAGACATGTCATTGCTTTGAGAGAAAATGAAAATTAGGAAAGACAAAAGAAAAGAATACAAAATAAGTTTATCAACATACAAGCTAGCGTAGGCTTCTATGGATGATTCAAACATACACTTTCGTATAAGTTATTTTGCCCTATTTCATTCATAATTTATGGAACTTTCCTACTGCTGGTTTCAGGCAAGATTGCATTGGTGGAATCTATATGTATCAGGAATAACTAAGCCTACTATATAGGCTATATAATATAATTAGCCGTGTGTAGACATTGGCCTGTTAATTCTTATTTATTTTTTGAGGGCCCAAAAAATCTTTAGAAATATAAATTGTGACAAACAACACAAGAGGCATACATTAATACAGTCAATAAAAAGTGTATTTCATTTCCAAAATTATTGCAGGCCAGCATTGTAGTGCTGGCAGAAAATATCGGTGAATCGATGTATCGCGATACGACATGCCACATACGCGTATCGTATCGCGACGTCGTGTAGGCCTATCGATACTTCATGATACCTTTCTTTCCATAAAAAAGTGGAGATTTCTATAACTTGGCTTATGATAAAACAATTTTTTCACTGAAATTGTTTAAAAACCTTTTATAAGACAGTGGACGCTAACCACTTCTATCAACTATATTACTAAATATCGCAGTTATAAAGTTATGAATTAATATATATATTGAAACTGAAGATAAAATGTTAATTTTTTATTCCATTACCCCACATCGCAATACGTATCGTATCGTGACCCCTGTATCGCAATACGTATCGTATATATGGCATGATTGACGATACCCAGCACTAGACCTACTGCATTGGCAAAGTTTATTTCATTTCCAGACTTATTGTGGCCCTTCATCGGTAAAGTTTATTTCATTTTCAAAATTGTTGTGATCCTGCATTGGTAAAGTTTATTTCATTTCCAAAATTATTGCGGATAGGGTATGCAGACGGAGTAATTTAGACGAGAGATGGCTCAAACAAAGTTGTGGATACTGTCTAATATTGTTAATTAGGACAGCTAGGTATTTGATTAATTAAGTTATATCTAATGAAGGTTATTAGTAATAATTAAAAAAAGAGAAGATATATGAGATATGTCATGTTATAAATCATATTTTGTTGTAGATGTTAGAACTTGATGTACTATATTAATCAACCTAATAAGAACTATTAGACCATTCCCAAACAATGCACCTGGATTTGACAGGTTTTTTTTAATGTCAGAGAAGATGGTACACCTACATGCTGGTCTGAGCGTACAAAAATTCAAAATATGGCAGCTCTATCCATAAGCGCAAACCTTCCATGAAGCATTGAGAGGGTCTTCCCCATAGACAATTTTTGAAAAATGGAGTTGATTTGATGCATTCTGACATATTTTGGGTGGAAAAACGTATAAAAATCTTTAAATTTGTGTAAAATGAAGTGGGACTAGTGGGAGTACAATATACTTTGGGATACAAACCATTTTTAGACCCCCTCCCCTACGAACCTCCACAAGCTGGCACTGCCACTATACAGACTCGGGTTCCCAAAACACATTAGGAATTTTAAGACTGTCATAGTTTGATGGTACGGTAGTCTTTTTGTTACGCCCTTCGAGACTCTAACAGTGCACCTCACGAATCTGAAATGAAAAGCGATTGTTTCTTGTAAACAATTCATTGTTTCATCAAGATCAGAAAAATGCAGCTTCATTTATACTTAAACGTGGTCTAACAGACGGGCTAGACTAGAGGCAATAAAGTTACATGTTCTCTTGAGCGTTTTAAAAATGGGGCGTTATCTCTAGTTGCCGAGAAAGGGGTATTAGATCAAGGGAGGTAATAAAAAAGTAAAATTATTACTTTCAGACCAAATTATGTTCAAATCACCAGCTATTTAAATTCTAGATATGATCACAACGTACTAAATGTAGGCGATTTGTATTTTGCGGAACGGAACAAGAATAAATCATATACATATAAACATTGTATAACTAATTTAACAAAATTGTTATAGAGTGATTTCGTGAAGTTTAAAGAGACGTTTAGTTTGTAAAAAGCCGTCTTCAACAACATGATACTGGTAGCAAAGATTATGAACGGAAGCCCGATTCCCCTAAACTAAAGGCAGCTTTAGCTAAAAATGACCTATATGAAATAGGGGTATTATCAAACTAAAAATACCTTGCGTCCCAAATATGGGACGCTAGGCGTAAATGTACATGGACTTTCCCTGATTTGCAATAGGGGTGATACACTAGCATTCTACCGTGGAACGCACATGCGGTACGTGCAATAGAGTGTATTCTATTTCGTTGGTAGGCATTATCCCGATTGAAACGTATGTTCTCGTTGTTGTTTTCTTCCTGTCTCGTGGGGTTATGCACTGTGTGACATCGTGAAGAAGAATTATATGTAATTTACTAAATCTTGAATTTGATAACCATGTCTTGGGTGCTTTATTTTACAGTAACAGGAAATGGTAAAACTGTATTCATATTCACATTCTTTGATAAACTAAAAATCTGTTAATAGCAAGGTTCTACTAAAATTTCCATTATAATTAAGGAATTTCAAATTGCGCAAGAAAGGCCTTTATCGACCTATAAGGCCTAGCGAACCGTAGCTATTTATACTTGTATAATAAGGTAAAATATACTTCTATTCATTCATTCATTCATATGTAATATAATGTTATTTAAATGGTGATGTCAACTCGTTGATCGAGTCTACGATATTTCAAAGTTTTTAAAGAAAATAATATTACAAATATTGAAAATGGACAAACCCAGATGTGTAATATACGTTATTGTCAATACAGGTATAGATATACAAGGATATGTGAGGAAAGATATAGAATAATTAGACTAGGCATATTATCTACATAATAGGTAAGTTGTTTATTACATGTTGGCCAAGGGTTTACTTTGTGATCATCGAGGTTTTACTACGTGATCTTTAAGGTTTTACTACAAGATCATTAAGGTTTTACTACGTGATCATTAAGGTTTTACTACTGATAATTAAGGTTTTCAATTCGTAAAAGGTCGATCATTCGGAATAGTCTAATATCGAATTTAACTTCAAGGGCCATACTTCCGGATAGACCTACATGTCACCTTCGAGTGACATACATTTCAAGTCTTAATTCACCCATTCTATAATGGAAGGCCTACTTACACAAGGTTTTCAAAGTAAAATCATTATTATTTATTAATTAATATAAGTACACCTAATTAACACTACGAAATTTCATGTAAAAAGGACAAATATTTTGAATATTATAGTTGATAAATCAAAACCTTCTCTTAGTTTTTAAAGTCCACATAAAAAAGGTTTTTCTCTTCCAAGGGATACAACTCGTAACTACAAACTTCAGTCGGCGACCAGTGAGCTGGAATGATGAGGTGACGTTAAACTACCTTATTTCATATAACTTAAATTAATAATATATAACGATATAACGAAAATTGAAATTAAAATCAATGTTAGTGATTGACCAATCAGATGACTTGCAGACTTACATCATCTTATGTAAGTTTTTCAGAATATGGCCTCAGGTTCATATACTTTGTCAAAATTTCCGTACGGTGGGCAATTTTCAGCTCTTCTATTCTCCAGAACATAGGCTCTTCCCGATTCTCTCATTTCCTCTTCTCAAATCGCCTATTTTCTTCTAAATTACTCCCATTTCACACAATCTCCATTCGCTCCTTACCCATTTTGTTGGGGAGGGGAGATCAACAGCCAGGGCCCTTGTGGCAGGTGGAACAAAGGCCCAATTTCCCACCTTGCTCTCCAAACCAGAAAAACAATAACTTGGTGGTTTTGGAATAAGGGCAAAATAAGTAGGGTTGGGATGTGACACTGGCGAAGTAGAAAAAGGACGATATTGGAAAGTTGAAAAATAGAAAAAGGACGATTCGAAAAGAGACGGAATTGGTAGTACCGATGTAAAAGAAAAAGGTACGGATTGTTAAGGGGCGAATTTGAAAGAGTAAATTTGGAATAAGGGCGAAAAAGTGGAATATGATAATGGTGAAGTTAAAAGGGGCGATGTTGGAAAGGGATAGAATGGATAAGTGACGATTTGAAAAGGGACGTTATCGAAAAGAGCGAAATGAGAAATTTTGAAGAATAGGGAATGGGTAAGAGTAGATTGGGGAATAAACATTATTCATAAATAGAACATTTATTAATTTATGCAGAAATTATTCGTAGACATGCTGGATTCAGTAATTCTGCTGGTGAAAAACGTAAATTTCATATTTAATTTACATATTGAAATTTTTAGGACTGAAGGAATTTACATATGGCAATCATATTTGAAAAAATGCGTCTACTGATTTTGTTTTTAAATGTACAAAACGTGGCACGTCACCGCCTATATTTCATATGGGTTATTGCCCCTGTTCTTCGAAATGTGTTCAATTTTTGCATATCGAATAGCAAAACTTTCCTTATTGCACACTGAATGATGTGACCGTCTTCAATGTGTCAGTAAAATAGACCATATACATTTGAAGTTGTATACGTGATGAATAATATTTTTATGATACACGTCAATATTTCTACATGTCGTCCCAATGAATATTGTATATTTAGGATAATAATACGGTGGTTTGTTTAGGACAAGTTTGATTAACTTTTATTATGATTAATTCTACTTATGAATTAACATTTTCCTTTACTTTTTTATACTTTTGTTTGCTTTTTTTTTTACTGAATATTAAAAATAGTAAACAAAAATGATAATTCAACAATTAACATCTGGAACAATTTCAATTGCTACCATTTTTTTAACAAAAAATAAAAAATAAGTAGAATTAAATCATAATTCATTAGACAAAAATAAAAAATAAGTAGAATTAAAACATAATTCATTAGACAAAAATAAAAAATAAGTAGAATTAAATCATAATTCATTAGACAAAAATAAAAAATAAGTAGAATTTAATCATAAATGAAAAAAATTAAACGTCTTAAACAAACCACCGAATAATATTGATTTATATATTTTGTTTCAGTACAGAAAAAAATAACATCAATTGATCAGTATTGAAATGAACGTTTTGAATTATATATTTTTCTGTGTGTTATTTAGGTTTGGTGAGTATGTTCGTCACTAAACAAATTTCTATGTCTTAATGATTCTCTGTAGAAAGATTTCTGTATAAGTTCGAAATAGGCGTCAAAGTGCAAAGACGTGTTGAGTTAGCTTTATACAGGGGTGCCTGTAAATTGTGACTTCGCATCGCGTAATTTCACTTTACACACTACGAGAAACATTTTGTCAGTTTAGTCCGATAAAGCTTAGTTTAAAAAGTGTTGCACATATCACAAAAAATTGGTAGCAATTGAAAATGTTCCAGATGATAATTATAATAATAAAATAATGATATCGTTAATTTTTAAAAATGATAGGAAAAATTGTCCCTCAAAACGGGTGTTTTTATTTTCAAATTTCTCTGCGAAACCACCTTAATCAAAGTTCCAATTCATTGTTTTCTTGGTTATAGGGTATGGTGAAAGATATCTAAGTTGTAAGAAGAGAAAATACGAAGCTGATATAGAACGAATCAATGACTATGAATCAGCTATCCTTACTCTTCCTAGACTCAGAACAAAAGAAACCTGGTAATTTAAAACTTTTATTTTCTTGATTGAATCAAATCATGGCATATTCATATATTAAGAGAAACCGAATTCACCTTGATGTTTGTGTATTTTTTTCTTTTTGTGTGGCACATCATAATCGAATTTCGTACTGATTTTATTTTTTTATTTAAGTCTGGGTTGACCAAATTAACTCGAACTGATTTAGAAAGTGAATATTAAATAAAATGCAAAACAGGACATGAATTCCTATTAATAATGAATGATTGGTTGATTGGTTGGTAGATAACAAGTTAACGAGTCCGCGAGGTGGCATATTAATTTGAATAATGAATAAACTTTTATTGTATTTACATGATGCGATTTTCATAATCAGACTTTACTCTTTATCCTCTTTTATGATATGTATTTTATTGAGTTAAGTTGATTGATAGAGTTATGCAACTGTTGATTTGATTATTTCACCTCGGGTGGTGAAATCAGCTAGTCAAAAAACAAAGTAATCTTATTATGTAATACTTTAACTCTATATCTCTTTCCCGATTTTTGAGCAGAATCTTACCTTATAATATTAAAATAACCTTTCCTGAAGAGCTACGAATTTACAAAACTACAGACACATTTGGTAGAGAATAGTCATAAATTTGGTAATTAGGCCTGCTTAAGTGAACTTGTGTCGGGTAGATGAATGCCCCAAACTATATAACTAAATTGATATATCGGAAATAGACGGTATAAAAATGCACATTATTCTCCTATACAATTAGTCAGATATTGAAGTTCAGATTATCCAGACACCACATGAAAACATTCAAGTGAACTTTGACCTGAATTCAATAAATCCTTGCCTATGGTAAAAAAGCCACTGGGTGTAGTATTACACGAATAAATTATTTGCATTGATTAAATTGACCTGTTTTAGTCAACACCGCCCACAGAAAAGTAGGACAACACCTACAACAATGGTGAATTGTGGAATAGCAAAACCCACGATCGAGCAAGATTACAACGTCTATGGGTTTCGCTATCCCATGATTCGTCAGTGTTATCAAGAAACCTACCTGAAATGCTTAGATTGGCTAAGAATGAACAAGAACGAGATTGTGGTAAAAAACTTGTTCGATTAAAATGAAGACAAAAATATCAGATAAAGAAACGAAGTGATTTTAATTAGATTGTTCTAGATTGGTATATATAATATGGCAAATCTGAGAGGCAATATTGAAAAAAGAATCAAACCAGGGGTCCGAAAACAATAAATGACTTCATCCACTTTAAGGAGACCTTTACAGAGTACTAGAATCAAATTTCAAAATAAAAGATCTAATGAATTAAACGAAATATAAATGTCACAATTATCTAAGCATCTTCTTGGTCCCCTTCTTCTTCATCAAATTCACCATCCTCTTCAGCTGTAGCATCCTGGTACTGTTGATATTCAGATACCAGATCATTCATGTTCGATTCAGCTTCAGTAAATTCCATCTCATCCATACCTTCCCCAGTATACCAATGGAGGAAAGCCTTTCGTCTGAACATGGCGGTAAACTGTTCTGAGATTCTCTTGAATAGTTCCTGAATGGCTGTCGTATTACCAATAAAGGTACCAGACATTTTCAGACCTCTTGGTGGAATGTCACAGACAGCAGTTTTAACATTGTTAGGGATCCATTCAACAAAATAGCTGCTGTTCTTATTCTGAACGTTCAACATCTGTTCATCCACCTCCTTCATGGACATACGACCTCTGAACATTGTAGCCACTGTCAGATAACGACCATGACGTGGATCGCAGGCAGCCATCATGTTTTTGGCATCAAACAACTGTTGTGTGAGTTCTGGTACAGTCAGAGCTCGGTACTGTTGGGAACCTCGAGAGGTGAGAGGAGCAAATCCTGGCATAAAGAAATGTAGACGTGGGAACGGTACCATGTTGACGGCGAGCTTTCTCAAGTCAGCATTGAGTTGACCAGGAAATCGGAGACAGGTGGTCACTCCAGACATGGTGGCTGATACCAGGTGGTTGAGATCCCCGTAAGTGGGTGTGGTCAGTTTGAGGGTACGGAAACAGATATCATATAGAGCCTCATTATCAATACAGTAAGTCTCGTCCGTATTTTCTACCAGTTGATGAACTGAGAGGGTTGCGTTGTAAGGCTCCACAACTGTATCAGATACCTGAAATTACAAGGATTCAGATTGTGAACAAGGGTTAAAACAATTCTTATCTTTATTCTGGGTCAAACAAAACATCGGTTATTTTTATTATGATACATCATTGTGGCTACTGCAGCCGATATTTAATTATTGCTGATCTAAAATTTTTGTTACTCGATCAGAAAATGTTGGCTCCTCAAATACTATTCTTCAACAAGATACATGTGAATATTTAGATCAATTGAACTTTCGGACTTAAACTTGAAGTCACATGATCCGCGTTATTTATATATCATTTTATTAAGGACCATGGATTGTGGTTTGAATGAGAACAAACAATTTTCATCGTGATGGTCTGTAACCATGTGATTAATGGCAGATGAATTGAACATAAGCACTGAACCTACCTTTGGTGAAGGACATACAGAAAAGGAGTTCATGATTCTATCGGGATATTCTTCACGAATTTTACTGATGAGGAGAGTTCCCATACCAGAGCCAGTTCCACCACCCAGAGAATGGGTCAACTGGAACCCCTGTAGACAATCGCAACTTTCAGCTTCTTTTCGGACCACGTCCAGGACGGAATCTACCAATTCGGCACCTTCTGTATAATGACCTTTAGCCCAGTTATTACCGGCACCAGATTGTCCGAACACAAAGTTGTCAGGGCGGAAGATCTGGCCAAAAGGTCCTGATCGTACGGAATCCATTGTACCAGGTTCCAAGTCGACGAGAACAGCCCTGGGTACATATTTACCACCAGTAGCTTCATTATAATATACGTTGATTCTCTCCAACTGAAGATCTGAATCACCGTGGTAAGTTCCAGTTGGGTCAATACCATGTTCATCAGAGATCACTTCCCAGAACTGAAATGGAAGATACGGTGAATAGATCAGACAAGCATTATAAGAACAAGTAATGTGAACTCTCTGAAAGGGGTGCTAGTTCAAATAAACCAAGCCGTAAAGCTGAATCAAGTATTTAGAAAGAGTAAGCATGCCTTGTTTTACCTTTAACAGCTGCCACAATAAAATGTCAATAAAATAGTTGCTTACCTTGGCTCCAATCTGGTTTCCACATTGACCAGTTTGCATATGGACGATTTCTCTCATTTTGAAGTGAGTAAAACCTGACTGGAGTTAAGAACTGAAGTGAATGGTTGTTGAAAGTTGAATGATCAAGAATTACCAGCGTTTTATAGCATAGACAGTTAGACAGTCGCTGTAAAAAAATCTTCGCCCAAAAGCTTGATTTAACGTTAATCCTTTCTGATTTATTTCAATAATCTAATCTTATGGATTATCGATGATTCATAATCTAATTACTGTAAATTCTATTAATCGAATCAAATCAAATCTACAATGAGATTAGCGGATTAATATGAATCTGCTTAAAGTCACAAATATCGGGTATGACAGTAGATTTCACCTCTTAATCTAACTGATATACAACGATAGCCAAAAACAAACAACCAACATGGCAACATAGCTCTTACTGTAGATATAAATAGAAATCTACACCAACCTGAAGACATTCAGTTGAACTTCTTACCTTGGTTAACTGCATATCTCGTCTTCAGATTCTCGTCGTTTGTAAACAATTCTTCAAAATGGTGAGTACAGTTGATATTTACTTTTGACTGTATGCAATGATTATTTGATAAAGAAAAAGATGGTTCTACTCCAATTTTATTTTTCATTAGGGTGGTTATATGTTTTCTACTATAAGTGAGGTTAGATCCTGTGGGTTCAAGTTTGAATGCACGAAATAAAAAAATGTAAAATACTATATTAATTATTCAGTCACAAGCTTTCTCCCTTGGTTTTAAAATTGGGTTATAGACACGTCTTGGTTTTGGATTCTTTAGACCGTCAATTGTGGAGTCTATTTATCTAATGATTCTTATTTTTTCAGCGTGAGTGTATCTCTATTCATGTTGGCCAAGCTGGTGTCCAGATGGGCAATGCCTGTTGGGAGTTGTACTGTTTAGAACATGGAATCCAACCTGATGGCCAGATGCCGTCTGATAAATCTATTGGAGGTGGAGATGATTCCTTCAACACTTTCTTCAGCGAGACTGGAGCTGGCAAACATGTTCCAAGAGCTGTATTTGTTGACCTTGAACCAACAGTAGTAGATGAAGTCCGAACTGGTACTTACCGCCAACTCTTCCATCCTGAACAACTCATCACTGGTAAAGAGGATGCTGCTAATAACTATGCCCGAGGTCACTACACTGTGGGGAAAGAACTCATTGATCTTGTCCTGGACAGAACCAGGAAGCTGGCTGATCAATGTACTGGTCTTCAAGGATTCCTCATCTTCCACAGTTTTGGCGGAGGAACCGGATCTGGTTTCTCTTCCTTGTTGATGGAAAGATTGAGTGTCGATTATGGAAAGAAATCCAAATTGGAGTTTGCTGTTTATCCTGCTCCACAAGTTTCAACTGCTGTTGTAGAGCCTTACAACTCTATCCTTACAACCCATACCACATTGGAGCATTCCGACTGTGCTTTCATGGTGGATAACGAGGCTATTTATGATATCTGTAGACGAAATCTCGACATTGAAAGACCAACCTACACCAACTTGAATCGATTGATTGGTCAAATCGTAAGCTCAATCACTGCATCACTCAGATTTGATGGTGCTCTGAACGTCGATCTTACTGAGTTCCAGACTAACTTGGTGCCTTATCCACGTATCCATTTCCCTCTGGCTACATATGCACCAGTCATTTCTGCTGAGAAAGCTTACCATGAACAACTGTCTGTGGCTGAAATCACCAACGCTTGTTTCGAGCCAGCAAACCAGATGGTCAAATGCGATCCTCGTCATGGTAAATACATGGCTTGCTGCATGTTGTACCGAGGTGACGTTGTTCCCAAGGATGTCAATGCTGCTATTGCTACCATCAAAACCAAGAGAACCATCCAATTCGTTGACTGGTGTCCAACTGGTTTCAAAGTTGGTATCAACTACCAACCACCAACTGTTGTACCAGGAGGTGATTTAGCCAAGGTCCAGAGAGCTGTTTGTATGTTGAGTAACACAACTGCTATTGCTGAAGCCTGGGCCCGTCTTGATCATAAATTTGATCTGATGTACGCCAAGAGAGCTTTCGTCCACTGGTATGTTGGTGAAGGTATGGAAGAAGGCGAATTCTCTGAAGCTAGAGAAGATTTAGCTGCTCTAGAGAAAGATTATGAAGAAGTTGGAGTTGATTCTGTTGAAGGTGAAGGAGAAGAAGGGGAGGGAGAAGAATATTAACATTCAAAATTGGTTAAATAAATCTACATGTTAAATCTATTTTTTGTTTTTTAATAAAACACTTGAATAGACTGTATTTCTGACTATTTTCTTTTTTATATTTATTGCCTTAAGATTGATAATTTAACATCAATATGTGATACATCATTTCTTCAGCAAGAGTTATTTACCTTAAGCACGAGTTTTTCAACCCGGTTTCCCCCTGTCAGTGATGCAGGTAAGAGGGGCTGACATGGAAAAAGCGTCTAGTCGTTCGGATGGGACAATAAACCGAGGCCCCGTGTGCTACAGGCTGTGCACGTTAAAGATCCCTCGACAGTTGGAAATCGAAAAAGAGCAGGCTAATGCCGCTGTCCTGGCAAAATTTCCCTCATGGCACCCTGCAGTGCGTTGCCCGTCTTCATTAGCCCACAAGGTGCAGAAGAGTAGGACGTAAAACTCCATTCATTTCATTTCATTTTTAAGCACGGGTTATATCCCTTTACCTATGCGAGTCATGTATCCATCCTTTTTACAATTTCCAATCAATTTTTATTGAAAGTTGGTGTTTTCACAGGAATGGAAGTTATCTCGAAAGAAAGAGAATCTGAGAAGCAAAATACATTGACTTAGTCAAAGTGCGCCCAAATCTGTTTGTATACTCAATAGAGGCCATACTTGGTATTGATCAATGACATACATAAATCTTTGCATTAATAATTAAAAAAAAAATCATACTTTCAAAAATATCTTGTGAAACCAACAGAAAGTTTTCAATTAATTGTTCTCACATTTGAGATAGTTAAGATTGCGAAATCTATTTCGAAGTTGAACACTTTTGCGATGAACATTTTGATTAAATATTATAATTCATGCTACATTTTATTGTTCTTAAAACAAAGCTGCTGTAAAGGAGAACATTACCTTACCTGGCAAATTGTACAACCATTTAGAATTTTTCTCATACATCTACACCTATTACATGTTAACATGTAGTTTAAACTATTTAATACTAAAAGCAAAAAAAATATATGAAAAATCAGACTATTCTTTGAAAAAGAACTATTTTTCTTTACAGATTAGGAATTGTGATGAGACATGTCTGGGATATAATGACGTACTCAATGTATACACTAGACACGCAAGAGTTTTAACTTCTTCTTCAAATGGTATATGCAAACAAGCCTCCGTTGCTTTTAACATAAAAAAAACTGCGCATGGTTCTTACGTGGAAATAACAAAAACGAACGTAGTTAATATGTCGAGTTTTCAAAAAGGCTATGATACTTCAAAGAAGATTTCAATCACATTCAAAGGTTTAGAAATGGCTTAAAATATGATTCAGGGGCATAGTTGTAGTATTACAGTTTTTGACAGTGTCAGTTATTTCCTTGTAAGAGCCATACTCGATTTCGTATATAAGGTATGCTAAAAAGCACCGGGGCTAAAAGGTAGAAGGTCAGAACGTAAACGGTCCAAAAAAGGGTAAAGGTCTAGTGGTATACTGTTTATAAGACATAGAGAAATAGGAGTAGGTAAAGAAGCACAAGATATCTCTCTTGATAACGCTGCCTGTATGAGCATGTGAAACGTTGAGTTAATAAATGTCAGAAATAGTATATCCATATATCTTGTGCTTCTTTGTCTAGTGCCATATTCTGAGCTGTACATAGTTCTAGTAGCACATGTTGTCGTATTGATACTAGAATTTGTACTTGTTGTCGTGTTGATACTAGAATTTGTACATGCTGTCATGTTCATACTGGTATTTGTACTTGTTGTCGTTTGTGTTTGACGTCAGGTTGATATACTAGTTTTTGTACCTAATGTTATGTTGATAATAGTATTTGTAGTTCTGGTCATGATGAAACTATAGTAATTGTACAAAATGTCATGTTGATACTTGAATTTGTACCTACTGTCATGTTGATACTGGTATATTGGTACTGGTAATTTTACTTTTCGTCATGTGGTCATGTTGAAACTAGTATTTGTAGTTCTCGCAATTTTGATATTTTATGAATAAAAAAAGTAATTACCAGTGACAGGATCACCTTAATTTACTATTGACGTGGTTGATTTAATGTGGGAACGTTACTTTATTTCGTTGAGTGATATCAGTAATCTGATCTATCTTTCGATTGGTTAATAAGTCTGATTCGGTACACCGACTGGTTGAAAGAATGATCATCTTTCATAAACAGTGGTCTTCGCTGACCTATCATTTCATTGGTCAATATCCCCAATACTGCCCATCTATTGGCTAATAAGTATCTCACGCGTATATCTATGTGAGTTGTATACCTAAGATAAGCAACACAGTTTGGATTCGTTCCCTTAAGTCTGTCATATTCTTTTCACCTACACACCTACATCCTTTATTTAAGTCCATGGTTTAAATATGTCTTTTGTATTTGTGTTCCTGTTTCATAAATTGTAATTTTTTTCTTACATATTGTAAATATACGTTAAAATTATTTATATAATTTATAGCTTTGTTAATATATATGTCATTTGTTCTTTCGTATTAAATATGTTAGATAACTCATATTCAATCTGCAACAAACAATAAAATCCAAAAAGAAGTTTTATCGAGTTGGTTTGTTGGTCCTAATCTGATAATTGTATCAAGTTGATGCTTGTATTTGTAGTTCACGTCATAATGATACTATAGTAATTGTACGTAATGTCATGTTGATGCTTTTATTTGCGGTTCACGAATACTGCCCATCTATTGGTTAATAAGTATCTCACGCGTTGCTATCTATGTGAGTTGTATACCTAAGATAAGCAACACAGTTTGGATTCGTTCCTTTAAGTCTGTCATATTCTTTTCACCTACATACCCACATCCTTTATTTAAGTCCATATTTTAAATATGTCTTTTGTATTTCTGTTCCTGTTTATCTCTTATGTGA